GGCAAAAATAAATACAGTGCAAGTCTATTTATAGCCTTTTCATGAGAAAGCTTCTGGAAAAAAATTCACTTGATCGACTGGACTGGATTTGACCAATCAGCATGCAGCTAATAATATGAGAATTTTCTATCCTGTTCTCCAAGCTTCGATCTGGCGCTGATTGGATAGGAAATTAGCCAATCAGCGCGTAGTGACGTAATCATGCTTTGAATCCATCTATGTCCCGCTAACAACAACATCGAGCTGAATCGGACAAGCTGTTAGTCATGTGGAACGATTCGAATACTTCACTTCTACCTGAAGTTTGTGCTGATGATATTGTTCAAAAGAATGGTGAAAACTTAACTATTTAACCATTCATTTTAGCGAAAACTCTGTCAAAAACATATACTACACCCCAGGTATGCGTTCTCAACAAGCAAACACCAAGATTGTTCAGACAAGTCAACAGGCTTTTCCAGAAAGAAACTTCATTACCATCAAATTGCTTGAATGAGACACTTTAATTGACTGTAGTATTATATTTAGGGAAACAAGGGGACAATTACTTAGACAAAATACTCAAGAACGTGTAATTTGATAGCCCATTACAACCATAATAAATCAACCAATCATTGTTAGACTAACATTAGAAACCTGGAAGCACTGCACGACCATTCCATCCTGGTATGGGACACACTAGCAGTGCGCATCCACGACTCCCGCACCTCGAAGGACTCGAACCCGGGACCTTCGGTATTGTGCGCGAACGCCTAACCATTGGACCACTGGGTAGGCATCCAACAGTGTCAATGTCTAACTCTGAATGATCTAGGGATTTTGCGCGACCTCACCCATTTGTCTTCGGTAGTTACTACCTACAGCTGACAGGCTTGAACTCACGAAGCTAGTCACTAGTGAGCACATTTTACGATATTTCCAATTAGAGGTGTTTCCCTCGGACAACCAGCATCTGCAGCGATGCTCCCTTCTCACAAGGAAGGAACGGTTAGAAAACGTCGACCCTAAAAATGTCACACCTCACCCTACCTCACGGATTTCCGTCTCCGTCGGTAAGGGCTGCCCACTAAGGGCTTTAAAATGAGCGGAGCTAATACTCAAAAATCCTTTCATAAAAAGGCCTTGCGTGACCGGCCTGAAGCAGTTGTCCATTGGGCTCTGCGGTCACGCTCCCAGCTCTCTCTAAGACCGACACTAATCTACCTTCTTTTTCAGGTTCCTTAAGAAACACCCACGGTGTTGGCAGCCGAGAAGTGACAACCGCCCTCATACCCGTAACAACACACGAGACCAAATAGGTCAAAATCGAATCCTTCCTACACCCCCTAATACCTCTCTTATATCCACGACTAACTATACTCACATTCCCTTATCTGACTGCACCGCTAATGCAAACGATACGAGTTCACGGAACGTCATTCCTGGTCTCCCGAAAGCCCGTTCTAGACTACATGTTGGAGCATTTGATGTACAGACATTGGTTCAAATAGGGCAACAGGCTTCATTAGCTAGGACTTTAGAATCTCGCTCAATCGATGTGTGCTGCGTCTCGGAAACGCGCATTCAGGATCCTAGTTAAGTCATTAATTTGATTTCCCCTTATCAAAACAAAGAAGCAGCTCGATTTACTCTTCGTGTATCTGGAAGCCCTGATGCTGCTTCCCGGGGTCTGGCTGGTGTAGGTATAGTATTGAGTCGTAGGGTAGAACTAACTCTCCTAGACTGGATCCCAGTAGATAGTCGCTTGTGCGCTGTCCGGTTGAATGGAACAGTAAGGACTCGGAAAGATAAGGACACTCGTCGTTGGCTCTTCGTAATATCCTCCTGCGCACCCACTGACTGCAGTTCAGACGATGTAACAGATGAGTTTTACAGAAAGCTTTCGATCCTCCTCCAAAAAGCTAGGCGCTCTGATATAGTAATAATGGCTGGTGACTTCAATGCTCAAGTAGTTAGACCAAGTGAAAATGAAAGACACCTAGGTGGATGTTATGGTGTCGCAGCTCAGAGAACAGACAATGGCGACCGTCTGTTGCAAGTATGCTCAGATAACCAACTATTTCTAGCAAACACTAACTTTAGGCATAAGGAAAAACATCTTTTGACATGGAGACCTTCAAGGTCGTCTCAACTTTGGACCGAACTAGATCACAATTCCATTAGCCACCGATGGAGGGGTTCGATAGAAGACTGTCCCACGTTGTGGGACACATGTTTAGATTCAGATCATGCTCTAGTGCGAACGCGTATTTGTTTGAGGCTTACTGGACGTAGGAAAGACACCGTAAGAAAGCCACTTAAGGTTTTACTTAATGATAATAAAGCAAAGAATATATTTCTGGGACGACTAGAAAGAGAGTTGAGCAACCATGTAAGCGATTCCAACGACCGTGAACAGTGGTGGGTGGCGAAAGCAAAAGCGATGGACAGCAGCGGCGATAGGCAACAGTAGACAACTTTTCCGACTTATCAAGGAAGCTGGTATTAGGAATCCTAGTGTAAGTGAGACTATCTCGGAAAAGGATGGGACTATTATTAATTCTCAATCCAGGTGATAGGACCGATGGGCAGAACACTTCAGCGATCAGTTCAACAAGTCTTCAGGCACACTTTGGTTACTCACGATCTCCAGTCATCCTGAATGGCGAATCGACGTAAGTCCCCCTAGTCTTTATGAAGTTGAAAAAGCGATAGGAAATCTGAAGCGAGGACGAGCTGCAGGTCCTGATAGACTGACCCCTGAGATATTTAAGGATGGTGGTCCAGTTTTATCAGCTAGGTTGACTGAGATCTTAGGTAGAATCTGGGAACTGGACGTAATCCCATCCGACTGGTTTCAATCCCTGATTGTCCCAATCTATAAGAAAGGACAAAAGTGTTCTTGCGCCAATCACAGAGAAATCAGCCTAACTAATATAGTATCTGAAATATTGGCCTCAGTAATACTTCGACGCCTAACGAAAGCTCGTGAAGAGCAGACTAGAGAAAACCAGTCTTGTATTCGACCTGGAAGCGGCTGTACAGACCACATTTTTACACTACGACAGGTCTTGGAACACAGACAAACATTTATGCGTCCTACAATAGTTGTTTTCCTGGACCGAAGAGCGGCATTCCACTCTATAGATCGTGAAGTTCTGTGGCAGTGTCTGTCATTGAAAGGTGTACCAAACAAGTATATTAACCTTATACAAGCTCTCTAATCGAACACCACTGGTCGAGTGAGAGCTTATGGTGAACTGTCATCAGAGTTCTTTACTTCAAGTGGTGTCCGTCAGGGATGTCCACTCTCTCCATTCTTGTTTAATTTTATCATTGACATGCTTCTAGAAATAACCTTATCTTCGTCTGAATTTTCTGGAGTAGACCTTTTACCAGGTGGCTCGCTTACTGACTTAGAACATGTCGATGACATTGTCCTACTTGGTGAAGACGCTGACAAAATGCAGAGTCTTCTGACTACTCTAAGCAACAATTCAAACATGTTTGGGATGCGGTTTCATTCCTTCGAAATGCAAAATGTTGCTTCGGGATTGGCTCGGATCGGCACCTGAACTAGTGATAGGGAGTGAAGTGGTCGAACGTGTAGACCGCTTCACTTATCTAGGGAGTTTCATCAGTGCTGATGGCCTGATGACTGACGAAATCTCGGCACGGATACAGAAGGCTCGATTGGCTTTTGCCAACCTGCGTCACTTATGGCGTAGGCGAGATATCCGTTTGCTGACTGAAGGACGAGTGTACTGAGCAGCATTTCTCTTCGTCCTACTTTATGTATGCGAAAAACGGCCAGTAGCCGTAGAGGATACTCGTAGTTTACTGGTTTTCGATCATAGGTGTCTTTGAAGCATTGCTCGTGTATCCTGGAACAACCCAGTAAGCAATGCTGTTGTTAGGGAACGGATCCTAGGTAAGGATGGCAGGTCCATAGATAAAGTATTCAAGTGCTAGTCATCCGGTCTGTCGTGTTTGCATATATCCGGTTTCGTATTAGAATAATTCTTCAATTGTATATCTGACTTATCGTAGAATAAGAGAAAACATACCAATTACCCACCTGAAGTCTACCATATCATGATAAATCGATGGTAACAATGTGTATGTTTATACTTATCAACTTTTTTTGAAAGAAACCTCTTCTGATGTCGACCCAGTGGTCCAATTGTTAGGTGTTCGCGCACAATACCGAAGGTCCCGGGTTCGAGTCCTTCGAGGTGCGGGAGTCGTGGATGCGCACTGCTAATGTGTCCCATTCACGGACGGAACGGCCGTGCAGTGCTTCCATGTTTCTAATGGTGGTCTAACAATGATTGGTTGATGATTTCAAATGTGTAAAAACACTAATCTCCATAACTCTAATTGTAAACCGTAATAAACCTCTAGTTTTTACGGTGAGTAGAAAGATAAATGGAAGCGAACCGTTTATATTTTAAAATGGTGTATGTTCAACTGACGCAAATGTCATCATAGTTTATGGAATAGAATTAAGTCATTAGTTTTAAAGTATTATTTCATAATGTGCGTTTGAGTGAAGAAAAAAATGTATGAATCCTGGAGACTTTAGTCAAGGTCCATATAGTACATCAGCTATGTTGAGAAAAAGCTTCAATCTCTGGCTGTTTAAAATTTTTTGGAAGATATTATAAAATTAATTGTGATTAGTTCTAACATTTGGCGTTTTGGACGTTAATCATATTGATTGAACCAATGCGCCTTCAGTTAATCTTTGATCCATATTTACTAAGTGTTAGCAAAGGATATCTGTTGATTGGTTAAATTATGGTAGTTTCGTTGGCATAAATTTAGGAAAATAAGGGTTAAATGTGAAGATTATAGATGCACAACTATAACTTCATGCTCTTCTGGGTTATAATAGTTGGTTTAAATTTATATATTTGCTTTTATTTGAATTTTGGTATTTCCCCCCCCCCTATGTTATCCAGTTTTTATAGAATAGAAAATTTAGCATTATAACATCTCATTTTCTTTTTGTTGTTAAGGTTAGATGCACTACCGTCAAATCACTTGAAGATCAACAGTAACTTAATAATAAGTTGTGATGGATCAGGAGAATTGCCTTATTTTTATGTAAATACAGTATTCATTTTGTCAGGTCTAGTACTTTTCGGTTTAACTTATTCTGGTTGGTTTATTGCAAAGATTGGCAGTTTAAATCAGTTTAAAATGGATTATATATTACAGTTCATTGGCGGATTTCTTCCAACTTTAGCATATTTCTCTAACCATAGAGAAGCTACACGTGTCCAATGGACTCCACCATTGAGAGAAAGCTTTGCTTATCCATTCTTTATACTTCAGCAATCATTTTTGTTGGCTTATCTTGGATCAAATCAAATGGTAAGTGGACTGAACTATCGTTATTTTCCTTAACAATGTAGTTAGTGCATACCGATAATTGTGTTTACCTTAAGTCAGAATGCCTATTTCTCAATTTTCTTCAAATAATTTATTGTTTATTTAGTGTATTCTCCTAAAATAAATAAATGCATACAACTTGACAATTAAGTAATGTGTAAAATCCTTCAAAATTATTAGATAAAGTTTATATGTTCAATACTGTGTTATATGTATATCGAAACAAGTCTCAAATCATAGAGTATTTGTTGATCAGTTGATTAACTCATTATCTTGGTACTTGAGTATAACTTGCACTCTAAATATGAGGGCCAACGATATTATCCAACGGCTTAAATCGAAGTAGGTGGCGCGGATTTTGAACTTGGAACTTAGTGGCTGAAAGTCGAACGACCAGTTACGTACTACTAAAAATCAACATCAGAAGAGGTTTCTTTCAAAAAAAGTTGATAAGTATAAACATACACATTGTTATCATCGATTTATCATGATATGGTAGACTTCAGGTGGGTAATTGGTATGTTTTCTCTTATTCTACGATAAGTCAGATATACAATTGAAGAATTATTCTAATACGAAACCGGATATATGCAAACACGACAGACCGGATGACTAGCACTTGAATACTTTATCTATGGAGCTGCCATCCCCAAATCCTCAATATATCAGAACACAAAATCCGTTTTATGAAGTATGTTAATGGGGTCAGAATACATTCTAGAACTTTACAGGTAATGCATTTAAACTCAGTTAGGACGAATTTAAATATTGAGCAATAGTAAACGACATGTGAAATATGAGAAAAGTCTGAAAACATGTGAAAAGTGTGAGAACATACGATTTTACGTTTAGAGATAGATTTATACTTAACGGAATAATTTTCGGGATATATTTATGAATAATATCCTAATAAAATCCTGTATGCAAATTATATAGTTATCACTTTTATAGAAATGATGTATACTTGTTCATACTATCTATCTATCTAGATTGTTGAATGTATTTTTCTGTTGTTGTAATTCATTGAAAACAATTTTATCATTTCGTTTTTTTGTTACTTTTTAGTTACAATTGTATCGATGGAAAAATTTCGTTTATTTACTGATCTACTGTATATTACTACTAAATTTTCAACTTTCATGGCAATTTTCTCAATTCGTTTTACTTACTCAAATTATAACGATTTTATGTGCTGTTTGTTTATTATTATCATCATCATCATCATCAAATCTTCTTCATTCTCTTAACTTGAATCAGTACAAATCAGTCATGTTAAATGTTTTATTCAAAGTGAAACAAATTATATGGATTCATTTAATTGTATTCAATGTGTCATTTCTATTACAATTTGGTAATCGTTTACTTCTACAATCCGGTTATTTATTTATTCTATTAAGTAGTTTACTTAGTGTTTATATACTTCAACAATTATTAAATAGTAAGTATTATTGTTTGTTTATATTTTCTTGTTTAAAAAGAAATGGAATAAAAATAATTCTTATCATTGAATATAACAGAAATAGAGTAATTTGTTAATATTCTTCTTATTAGTTCATTTGTCAAGGTTTTAAATGTATTAGATTCGGGCGACAAAGTTAAAGCTGCAGTGTTGATCATTTCAGTTAACCACGTTGTTTTTTTTATTAAATTCTTTATGAACGTTTTATATTCATCTATTTGAATTAGTATTTTCTATAGACATTAGCTAACTCTTACACAAATTAAACAAAATAATAATAATAATATAAAATTGTAAGCATAGAAGTATTCTATTCGGATAAAAAATAGCAAGTTACTCAAGCGCCGCAGTCAAATATAATTTACATTATCACTATAAAAAAAAAAAGGCGAATAAATTGAATATACTCAAAATGTACGTATTATTTATAAGACTACATGATCATTTGAATACTCTGATCACGTTGGTGTTAACTAAATCACATGTGATTCATTCAATAATTTAATCGTAGACGTAGACTAGAACAAGAGTTTATTTATACAAGATACAAATTGTTGGGGTATATATTGTAATATATAAATGGTTACTTATACGCGTATTTTTGTCTTCACTCTTTGACCGAACCTTAATTACTTTAAGTTGGACAAATCAAATATGTACAAACATAATCAATAGAGTTGTAGTTAGTCACTTGATTGTCATTATTAGTTTTATGTTTGCTATATGTCAAGTCTTATTTAGCGTTAAGTTTGAACCTTTAAAGTAGTCGTTTTCAGTATATCGACTGATGATTGTTTAACTATACGCCTGCTTTGAATATTGTACTATTTTTTGGTTTGGCTTTCATCTTCATCTAAATCTCATTCAACTACTGGTTTTATACTGACAAAGAGAGATTAGTGTTGTCTTTACGATTTAGGTATTGCAAAGAAATTTCGAACTATTTGACAATCAGATCAACAGTTCACAACAAACATGCATAAATGTTTATTGGCCTACTTTTTAAATTCATCACTTCTTGCAAGACGTCGGTTTTTTCTGTAAATCTTTTTCAATCTTTCTAAACCTGTGAAGAGATTTACCAGTCTTTTCAATTGTATCTTATTTGAGAAAAGTAGTTTTAACAAATAATGGAGTTATTGTGTTTGCTTTATGCATGTTACGATTAGCTACGGTTTCTGGAAATCATTTAAATCAATGATTTTTACACATTTGAAATCATCAATAATTATTGCCATTTATTTCTAAATTCCTGTAACTTAATATCCATCCCCTCATTATTTTTAAGGGATTTAACACATAAGGTATAATCTGCATATCTTAGTTAAGTTCTTAAATATATGTCTTTGAGCAGAATAGATGAACTATCGTATGTTGCACTAAACGATGCATTTTAATACAGTAGAAGGGAATTGAAGAGAAAATCGGTAATTTCTGTAATTTTGTGGATTAACTAACTGACTATACACGCTCAAGATCATACAGGGAATTAGAAAACGTAAGAATTTTTAAGACCTAACGTAATCTATTATCTCTATATTCATGGTCAACCAACATGCCTGCTGCACATGCACATCGCTGCGTTGATATACAGCGCAAGGATACTCACTGTTGCCAACAATAATCACCCTTGCCCCTTTCGGGTACATACATGTTGTCCGGTTTGGTCTGCAGATACATCGGACATCCAAAAAGCACGCACACAATCAGTGGCCCCTGCACGGGCACTTATGAATCAAGAAATCCCACCAACCAAACCACAACCCACAATCCCCAATCGGCGAGGGCGGCAAGGCGGGCTTATCCTTCCGGATAAGGGACCCCGTAGCAGGTTACCGAGCCACCCAAGCAGTGCACTAATCAGCAGCCATTCCAACCGTCTGGCCTCCAACTGCCTTGCGTTGATACAATCGATCGAGGCCCATCTTACCCCGCATTAAGCTAGAGATCGAGTTTGTCCCACAAGGTCAGCTAGAACGTACACCCTTCCATGAGGAAGATGTCATGAACTCGACCAAACGCAAGCGCTCAGCCAAGCAGGGCTCATCCCACAGAAGTGGGCAGACATCATTGGTGTTCAATGCCTTTTACAGCACTGAAGCACCGGAACCCAACTTGAAACCCTTGTTTAAGGGGCCTCGACGCCAGTTCACACACAACATCGAGTGAAGCATGTAAGGGACAACCACATAGGGTCGGCGTCAGTAGTACAGGATGTCTGTGGCTGCTTCCCCGAACATAGGGTCCAGGGCCGCCCTCGATCATCCTACTACATCCCTTTCAACGGCGTTTAGCCGCAGCGATGTATCCACCGCCACGTTGCCTAGCGGGACCACGAAGAGGTAGCCGCAACTACAACCCCCCTCGTTAATCCATTCATGCGCGTCACTAATTAGATGACGAGGCATTTGGCTACCTTAAGAGAGTCATAGTTACTATTACTAAAAAAAAAATTATCTCTACATTCTTTATCATAATTACTTACTTACGCCTGTTACCCCCGATGGAGCATAGGCCGCCCACCAGTTTCCTCCAACCAACTCTGTCCTGGGCTTCCCTTTCCAGTTCTGTCCAATTTTTGTTCATTCTTCTCATATCTTTCTCTATTTCTCGGCGTAATGTGTTCCTTGGCCTTCCTCTTTTCCTTTTGCCTTGAAGATACCATGTGAGGGCTTGGTCTTGTGACGCAGTCTGGTGCTTTTCGTAGTGTGTGTCCTATCCACCTCCACCGCTTCTTCCTGATTTCCTCCTCCACTGGAATCTGGTTTGTTCTCTCCCACATTACGTTGTTGCTGATGGTGTCTGGCCAACGAATCCGAAGTATTTTGCGTAGACAACTGTTCACAAATACTTGTATCTTCTGGATGATGGCTTTGGTAGTTCTCCAAGTTTCCGCTCCATACAGTAGAACTGTCTTGACATTTGTATTGAAAATTCTGATTTCGGTTTTGGTTGAGAGTTTTTTGGAGTTCCAGATATTTTTCAACTGTAGAAATGCAGCCCTTGCTTTGCCAATCCGTGCCCTCTCATCTACATCGGATCCACCTTGATTGTCGATGATGCTGCCGAGATATGTAAAGGTGTTAACGTCCTCCGAGGCATCTCCATCAAGCGTGATTTGGTTGATGCATGTTGTGTCGTATCGTAGAATCTCACTTACTTACGCCTGTTACCCCCAATGGAGCATAGGCCGCCGACCAGTTTTCTCCAACCAACTCTGTCCTCGTGATATGTTGAAGTGATTGCCTCTTTGATCCCTTTCCAATTGTTCTCCATGGTTGTTTTTATTCCATTGAGTATACCGTGCAAGGCCTGGAACTTATTGCTGAGGGCTATTTTGAATTTGTTGAGTTTTACGGTATCCCGCAGAAAGGCTGTATTAAACTTGTGTGTTGTCCGCCTCGTCATCCAGTTTTTCTTTAGTTTTAGTTTCATTTTGGTGACCAGCAAGTGGTGATCTGAGGCTGTGTCAGCCCCTCTCTTGGTTCTCACATCCTCCATAGTCCTTCTGAACTTTTTGTTGATACAGATACAGATATGGTCGATTTGGTTCTGAGTACTGTGGTCCGGTGAAACCCATGTGACTTTGTGTATGCGCTTGTGTGGGAATATTGTACCGCCGATGACAAGTTTGTTAAAGGCACATAGGCTTGCAAATCTCTTACCGTTTTCGTTCCTTTTTCCTGGTCCTTGTCGTTACATGATGTCTTCATATCCAGTGTTGTTCATGCCAACCTTGGCATTTAGGTTTCCCATCGGAATCGTCAAGTCCTTTGATGAGCATCTGTCGACGATTGACTGCAGCCTTCCTTAGAATTGATCTTTATCGTTGTCATTGTAGTCGTTGGTAGGTGCATAGCATTGGATGACGTTCATTGTAATGTCCTCTTTCTTTGTTTTGAAGGATGCTTCAATGATACTTGGTCCATGAGATTCCCGTCCTATCAGTGCTTTTTGTGCTTGTTTGGACAGCAACAGTTCAACTCCTTGTGTATGTGAAGCACTTCCCTCTTCATGGCCAGATTATAACGGCAGTTCTCTTGAAGCTAGTCTCAGTTGTCCTACCTGTGTCCAATGCGTTTCGCTGATTCCAAGCATCTCTGCAACAACTTGATATAGTCTTCCAGTCTCCTACAATGTTCGAACGTTCCATGTACCGAGAAAAATGGTTGTTCTAGTTGTGAGAAGAGGCGTCGACCTCGTGACTTCCGAGGGAATCTGGCTTTCATCACGAGATGTCATAATTCTTCTTCCAACTCCCAGGGCAGAGTTAAAATGGTTTGATTTATTTTTTTCTGGTTAGCAATTTTTAGGCAAGTTAGTTGTTTGGTGGGATGGGGTCGCTAACTCCATGCCCATCCCTCCTCCTTTATCCGGGCTTTGGACCGGCAGTAGCTCCGAAGGTTCTACTGGTGGAGTTCTTTATCATAATAATGTGTGTAAAATGAACAAAATCGTTTTCAGCAGAGTTGACCATTCACTAGCTATGGAATCCAGGTCACGCGTTTCGTCCTATTTAGGACTTTTTCGCTAAATGTACTCGAAACCAGTGTTGATGCTCACACTGAGACATCCAGCTGGCGAATTTCAAATAGGAAGATACTTGCATTGTGACTTCTGCTACCCAACTCTGCTTAAAATGCTTGTAACTAGCTATTAATATTTAGGTAATCCTCACGAACTGCATATATGCTAAAAAAGAGACTGAACGGTTGCAATCTGTTGCACCAACAGCAGAAAAAAGATTCAAATAACCCAGTTAAAATGAATTGAAGCAAAATATTGTTGTTTATTTTGAAAATAAACTTTTCTATTTTTTTCCTTAGCTTACAATCCAAAGATAATTAAAGAAAAACAAGTATCTGCTCCGTCATCAATGGTAAATATTCCATTTATACGTTTTCTATGCTTACCTTTAATAATTGTCTCTCTGTGTACAATCGGACTAAGTTTTCTGTTCTCAGCTTTCTCAAAATATGCTTTCAGCAATACTATTGATGTAAACAGGAATAATCATGACGATGGTGGTCATATATGGGATCTGTTAAAGCACAAACTACGCGTATTATTTGGTTTTAAAACTTATACAACATTTCATACAATGTTGTATATATGTGCACCAGAATTTGATTTTATCAGTGTAAGTATTGTGATCTCTTTTTTTCTTTCTGTCACACACACGTAGTTGATGAATGAATATTTTTTTTGAAATAATATAAAACACACCATTTTTCATGAAATGTTTATTTTATCATGCAATACATTCGCTTTCATGTAAAACGTTCGACATGAAAAAAGTGCGTGCTATTTTGCAAAGCATATATTGTCAGTCAGTTACTTACAACATAGAACTTCGCACGTCATTTCATAAGTTCAGGTTCCTATACTGTATCAGCACACAGACACAACTGTCCATTCAAATCCGATAGTGGTAGCGATAGTAGAAGCATCAGCAGTAATGGAGAAGATTAGGTAGCGAAGATTTGATTTGAGAATTATAATTCAGTGAGGTAAATTTAGAAGGAGAAAGAGAGAGATTGTGAGGAATTCACAAGATTAGGATTTGCGAGAACACAAAGAGTATATGCAACTGCCACATCGCAAACGATTTTGAAGCCATATCATTCAAGGTCTCCAATGATTGGTGACAGCGTTGCTTACTGGTTTGTTCCAGGATACACGAGCAATGCTTCAAACACGCCTATGATCGAAAACCAGTAACCTACGAGTATCCTCTACGGCTACTGGCCGTTTTTCGCATACATAAAGTAGGACGAAGAGAAATGCTGCTCAGTAGACTCGTCTTTTGGTTTGAAAATGGATATCTCGCCTATGTCATAAGTGACGCAAGTTGATGTAAGCCAATCGAGCCTTCTGTATCCGTGTTGAGATTTTGTCAGTCACCAGGCCATTAGCACTGATGAGACTCTTGAGATCAGTGAAGCGATCAACACGCTCGACTACTTCACTCCCCATTACTAGTTCAGGTGCCGATGCGAGCCAATCCCGAAGCAACATTTTGCATTTCGAAGGAATGAAACCGCATCCCAAACATGTTTGAATTGTTGCTTAGAGTAGTCAGAAGACTCTGCATTTTGTCAGCGTCTTCACCAAGTAGGACAATGTCATCGACATGTTCTAAGTCAGTAAGCGAGCCACCTGGTAAAAGGTCTACTCCAGAAAATTCAGACGAAGATAAGGTTATTTCTAGAAGCATGTCAATGATAAAATTAAACAAGAATGGAGAGAGTGGACATCCCTGACGGACACCACTTGAAGTGAAGAATTCCGATGACAGTTCACCATAAGCTCTCACTCGACCAGTGGTGTTCGATTAGAGAGCCTGTATAAGGTTAATGTACTTGTTTGGTACATCTTTCAATGAGAAACACCGCCATAAATCCTCACGATCAACAGAATCTATTGCCTCGTTAAGGTCGAAAAATACTACTATTATGGGACGTATGAACGTATGTCTGTATTCTAGGACTTAAGGTATGCCAATGATATAGTTGACTTTACCTTCGTGGACCTTTTACCAGGTGGCTCGCTTACTGACTTAGAACATGCCGATGACATTGTCCTACTTGGTGAAGACGCTGACAAAATGCAGAGTCTTCTGACTACTCTAAGCAACAATTCAAACATGTTTGGGATGCGGTTTCATTCCTTCGAAATGCAAAATGTTGCTTCGGGATTGGCTCGCATCGGCACCTGAACTAGTAATGGGGAGTGAAGTAGTCGAGCGTGTTGATCGCTTCACTGATCTCAAGAGTCTCATCAGTGCTAATGGCCTGGTGACTGACAAAATCTCAACACGGATACAGAAGGCTCGATTGGCTTACATCAACTTGCGTCACTTATGACATAGGCGAGATATCCATTTTCAAACCAAAAGACGAGTCTACTGAGCAGCATTTCTCTTCGTCCTACTTTATGTATGCGAAAAACGGCCAGTAGCCGTAGAGGATACTCGTAGTTTACTGGTTTTCTATTATAGGTGCTGTTCTGATTTAATAAAAATTTTTTGAGTGGATGAAAACTGAAAGTAACCATTAGAAGTGTTCTGCTTATATCTGTGAAATAGTAAATACAGTGAATGCGATTTTTTTAATCAAATTTCTAGAACTGGTATTTGTCGGTACACTTTAAATTTCCCTAACGTTCTAGAAGTTTAACTATCTACTTGAAGTTAGTATGTAGCATCAAGTTGACGTAGTTTAGTAAGAGCAGAATGGAAATGAATTTGACATATATTTATTATATAATCGTTATTGCTATGCTTTCTTTGATTGGACCATTTTAACTCGTGAATTTTGTTCATTATTGTATTCTAGTGGGCCGCTCTTAGACAACCTTTTGAAACTGGACTGATTTACGGTTCCATACTAGTCTGTTTTATTGTTTCTTTCAAGTTATTGAAGAACTTGTTCAGTTTTCATCTTTCAGTATCTATAAACAATCAGTTGTTTAACAACGTTAGTTTATCAAGCTGTGAGTGTTTATTTACAATATTGCGGGATTTCGTTTCACTATTAGTTATCATTCAGGTAAATAAACTGATTTGCGTATGTGCGTGTTTATTATTTTTCATGGTTACATAGTTTTTTATTGGTTTGATGATTGATGATATTGAAAAGCTGATGAGTCCCAAATTAGACGAAACGTGCGTTCCGATTTCTGCTCACAACTAAATCTATTACCTGTTTTTTTTCTAACTGTTCTGTTTAGCGCTAAATATCAGTTTTATAACTCAATTAGTATAATAAACGTTCCGAATCTTAATATTTTTTCTGCTGATCTTTCAACATTTGGAATTTACTATAATTTTGAACTCTGTGTATATCAACAATTTTAGAAGAACTTAAATGTGAAGTAATTTCATTACCTAATGTTTTTACTGCAATGGCCACCGTATGTAGCCACTTTCAGGGAAGTTCTACTCAATATGTCATGAAAGCGGTGTTGTTTAAATAACTAAGAGGAAGTAAGGCGAACGCCCGTCACCTTAATCGGGTCATCGGGTGCTCAGGATGCATCCTACTCACAAATTCGATCATTTTTGTGGTGTATGAATATTTATGTGCCCTTTTGTTCCAAGTATTGTGTTTAGTAAAAAACAATAAAATAAAGTAACAATATAAATGACAAGAATCTGTAAAGTTGTTCCGAAAGTTCTAACTTTTACCATACTTTCTCGTAATAAAGTTCACACAATTTTCACTCAGACATGTCGATATAGCATTTTGATTGAGAAATTATCCTTTCCAGAAAGTACTTTCAGACTTGAATGTTAACTAGTAATCATCTAATTACTAGACCTTATTGTTACTGAAACGGTAATCGCTGCACAAATTATTGGCTTATAATCTGAATCCTAATCGGTCCGCCGGTACACATATCTGCTATCCCCATTACTAAGTCTAGACAATAGGACACAGTAGAAAAGCTTCTATTACCGCATAACTTTCAAACACTCATCAGTTTATATATGTGAATGACAAGAACTCAAGGTACCTCGAATTTAATGTCATACTTTGCATACAATCGTACCATTAAAATCAGAAAGCTGAGCAAATGATGCGTAATTAAGGAACAATCAAATCAAGTCCAGTGTCAACTAACCATTCAGAGAGTACAGGAATCTAAGGATCTAACGATTATAATTATATAATAAACAATAAACAGCAATAGTCCGTAATGTAGTTCCGACTCGACTGTTCACTTTGCTGCGACAACTTAGACATGAAGTACGTAATAAATACATCCCACTGCCATCTCCTTCCTTACTCTATCTATTCTATAAAACACTACGAAAATAAATTTATCGAGTCAATCAGCACAGGATGCACATATGTCAAAAAAGGCCGGTCGAAATTTAGTCGTAACTACCAACAACAGTATGATTATAGCCCTGATTCACGATGATGTAAATACTGCCATATGTTATCAGCAGCTTCAGTGGATAATGCGATTCTGTTTAAAGAGAAGTGTATCATGTTCGAGTACCGATATGAGCACTACTGGAATATAGGTGTATGCATATGTAAAATCCCAAATTGGACGAAATGTAATTTCTGAATTCTGTAGCTAGTTACAATCCATCTGTGATATAAATAAACGTTACTGAAAAGTTTCTCAAGTCGCCTCTTTTTACCAGAATTTTCTAAACATTGTGTGGAACTTAGGTTTTCGGCATTGCAGAATTCACATCTAGTTAATGCTTCATCACTAAATCTACCCTATATAATTGTTATCTATCTAGCAACCGATAAATTCGCCTAGCATTCACTCCTTTTCAGCTTGTTTCTAGTTTCGGATGGTGTAAATCAGCGTCGATACAATTTCAAAACGTACCTTTTATAAGGTCTGCTGAATCGTACCATAATAACCATGTACCCAAGTTGTAAATCTTATCATAAAATTTGTTTGAAACAAAACAAGTTATTATTCCTAAATTATTGTTTTACAATGCACATGAATTTACGATCATGTAGATGGTGATTTTTACAATCATGGCTGTTTTATTTATGAGACTGAAACTGTTCTGGACACCTCAAATGTGTTTATCACTCGCTATATTGGCGCAGTCTACACGATGGTTTGAAATGTTCCATGCACTGAAAAACATTGGTGATCGTATATTCTGTAACTCATCAAAATCATCATCGCTGAATAATGCTCATGGACTCAGAAAAGAGATAAAACATCAATCCTGGTTTCATTTTATTATCTGTACAATAATACTAGTATTGTTCATAGCGTTCATGGCTGGACGTGGTTTGGAGAATTTAAAAGTTAGTTTTAAATCTTATTGCTGATTTTCACTACCATCACTTGATGTTAACATGATAGGTTTTCTATCACATAGCTTTTTATGTCACTTAATCAAAACAAGGTAGGATCTGGTACAATTGTGGACTGGCTGAAGTTGTCAAACTAGATCTTCACAACAAGATGATGACAAAATTTTCGAAGTAATAGTTAATGCCTTGTGATAGCGAAATCAATAAATATAGAGAATATAGCACACAAATGAGTGATTTTGTGCAGTAAATAGTTTGAAACAATATCACAACTCAAGATATACAGAGAAATACAAGATGAATGGATCTGCGTCATTGTGACCGATTTCCAGAAATACCACCCAACATCTCTACCTATTGGTCGCAATCATCAGATGAACATAATCCGGTCAGGATCTCCGCATATCCCCTTTTGTAGTTAATTTACGAACTTACGTATTGTTGAATTTATTCTGTCAATTGGTGTTTGTATACAAGAATCTTATCAACAAATGAATATTATATGATTGATTACATCCCCACTGAGGAAGTTCGAACCAGACTACTGAACGAAAAGTCGAAATAATTTAAATTTCCAACTGGAAAAATACTCAAATACAATTTTTACGTTTAGCGCCCAATTTCTAACGAACATTCAAGGAAAATATCTTATCATGCTACTTTTATTAATTTTCATGGAATTAGGTGATGAAAATTCGTTACATTTTTACTTGACTTACGATTATTCATGAATCGTCTTTTACCAAGTAAACCCGTTTATAAGCCTCATTTTATTACGAGAAGTGCGCTGGTGTCGTTACAAAGAACATGGTCAACAACCAACCAGATTTCTGGTCAACAGAAATCTCAGTAGCTTATTTTCTTCACGAAGTATACTTTAATATTGTCTAGAAGAAGAATGAGAAGCTGCCCAACCAAACTGTCCAGTTCAGAGAACAGTACACCTTCGAAGCCCTCGTTCTGAGCCATAATGATTCATCATTTTGAAGTCAGTCAGATGCAACGTAGAACTTCGTACGTAAGTGCAACAGTTCATGTTGCCATACCACATCAGCACAGAGATGTAATTGTCGATTCAAATCCAATAGTAGAAGAGGTAGAAAAGGTATTAGAAGTAATCGGACAGGTTAGGATGAGAAGATATTATTCGAGAAGTATGATTCAGTGAGAAAAGTTTAGAAGGTCAAAACTAGAAGGGTTGAAGAATCCAGAAGATTAGGATTTGAGAGAACACAAAGAATGAATGCACCGGCGTTATTGCAAACGGTTTTGAGCCATGTCATTCAGGGTCCCTAACCATCGATTATTATCATCTCGTGGACCACAACCAGGTAGTCGACAACGACCGACATGGCTAAGTCCACTCGTCAATGATTTCATGGATTTGTGCCATGTTTTGGTTTGGCCGCCCCTAACTTTCTTCCAACCTACTCCTACACTACAAAACAAAGCTCGACGAGGCAGTCGGTGGTTAGGCATACGCAACACATGTCCCAACCACCTCAACTGATGAAGTTTCATTACTTCATTTATTGATCTGCCATTCTTACCTAGCACCTGTTTCCTATTGTTGTAACGGTTGCTTACGATATTTCCCGGCTAAATCTTATTGCTTAGTACTCTTGACACAAAACACTGGACAAGTAACCCAAATCAGAACACGGTTGAACAGGAAGGATTGTATTCCAAAATAGCAAGGGAAAAGAAGCTGGAGGTGATGGCGTAAGCCAAGGCAAAGAAAGCAAGAAGGCTTGAAGGCGAAGAAGGCAAAAATAAATACAATGCAAGTCTATTTATAGCCTTTTCATGAGAAAGCTTCTGGAAGAAAATTCACTTGATCGACTGGACTGGATTTGACCAATCAGCATGCAGCTAATAATACGAGAATTTTCTATCCTGTTCTCCAAGCTTCGATCTGGCGCTGATTGGATAGGAAATTAGCCAATCAGCGCGTAGTGACGTAATCATGCTTTGAATCCATCTATGTCCCACTAACACCTATTAACAGCGTTGCTCACTCGGCTGTCCCACGATACTAGAGCAATGCTTCCGAGACGCCTATGATCGAAAACCAGTAACCTACGAATATCTTCTACTCTCACTGACCATGTTTCACAGCCATAAAGTAAGACGGAGCGAACTACTGCGCAGTACACTCGTCCTTTAGTCAGCAAACGTACTACTCGCCTACGCCATAAGTGACGCAGGTTGGCGAAAACCAATCGAGCCTTCTGCATCCATGCAGAGATTTCGCCAGTCACAAGGCCGTCGGTACTGATGAGACTCCCCAGATAAGTGAAGCAGTCAACACGCTCGACTACTTCACCCCCCATTACTAGTTCAGGTGCCGATGCGAGCCAATCCCGAAGCAACATTTCTCATTTCAAGTTTAGGGAACCACATCCCGAACATGCTTGCATTGTTGCTTAGGGCAGTCAGAAGACTCTGCATTTTGTCAGCGTCTTCACCAAGTAGGACAATGTCATCGGCATGTTCTAAGTCAGTAAGCGAGCCACCTGGTAAAAGGTCTACTCCAGAAAATTCAGACGAAGATAAGGTTATTTCTAGAAGCATGTCAATGATAAAATTAAACAAGAATGGAGAGAGTGGACATCCCTGACGGACACCACTTGAAGTGAAGAATTCCGATGACAGTTCACCATAAGCTCTCACTCGACCAGTGGTGTTCGATTAGAGAGCTTGTATAAGGTTAATGTACTTCTTTGGTACACCTTTCATTGACAGACACTGCCACAGTACCTCACGATCCACTGAGTCAAATGCCGCTTTTACGTCCAGGAACATGACTATTGTAGGACGTCTAAATGTGTGTCTGTGTTCAAGGACCTGTCGTAGTGTGAAGATGTGGTATATCCAACCACGTCCAGGTCGAAAACCAGACTGGTTTTCTCGAATCTGCTCTTCACGAGCTCTAGTAAGGCGTCTAAGTATAATGGAGGCCAACAATTTTGAAACTATATCAGTTAGGCTGACTCCCCTGTGATTGGCGAAAAACACTTTTGTCCATTCTTATACATTGGGACAATCAGGGATTGAAACCAGTCGGATGGTATTACGTCCAGTTCCCAGATTCTACCTAAGATCTCAGTCAATGTAGCTGCTAAAACTGGACCACCATCCTTGAAAATCTCAAGGGTAAGCCTTTGAGGACCTGCAGCTCGCCTTCCTTGCAGATTTCCTATCGCTTTTTCAACTTCATAAAGACTAGGGGGACTTACGTCGATTCGCCATTCAGGATGACTGGAGATCGTGAGTAACCAAAGTGTTCCTGGAGACCTGTTGAACTGATCGCTGAAGTGTTCTGCCCATCGGTCCTATCTCCTGTATTGAGAATGAATAACAAGACCATCATTTTCCGAAATAGTCTCACTCACATTCCGGTTCCTATTACTAGTTTTCTTGATGAGTCTACATAGTCGCCTACTATTGCCTATCGCCGTCGCCTTTTCCATCACTTTTGCTTTCGCTACCCACCACTGTCCTCGATCATTGCGTAGGCAGTTTATCAGCCTGTACCTGCGCTGACTCCGCTCCTCATCGCACTCAGAGCCAGGCGTGACTAGTTTTTGAGCATCCATCAGTTCGGTGGATGCTACTGAAATGCTCGGCTACTCCCTGACCTAATGGTTTACTTCACTAGAAGATATCACTGCTGTTTCCACAGCCTTTTGGATATCGTTTCAACCTGTCTTTGTTACGTCCAGTAAGCCTCAAACAAATACGCCTTTGCACTAAAGCATGATCTGAATCTAAACATGTGTCTCGCAACGTGCGACAGTCCTCTATCGAACCCCTACATCAGTGGCTAATGGCATTGTGCTCTAGTTGGGTCCAAAGTTGAGACGACTTTCGGGTTGCCTAGTCTACCTAATTGAGCAATAAAGTCACCAGCCACAATCGCTATATCAGAGCACTTAACTTTTTGGAGGAGGTTCGAAAGCTTTCTGTAAAACTCATCTTTCACCTCGTCTGAACTGCAGTCCGTGGGGGCATAGGCAGATACGACGAAGAGGTAACGGCAAGTTTCCCTATCTTTACGAGTCCTTACTGTCCCGTTTAGTCGGACAGCGCACAATCGACTATCTACTGAGATCCAGTCTAGGAGAGTTAGTTCTGCTCCATGACTTAATGCTATGCCTACACCAGCAAGACCCCGGGAAGCAGCATCAGGGCTTCCAGATACACGAAGAGTAAATCGAGCTGCTTCTTTGTTTTGATGAGGGGAAATCAAATTAATGACTTAACTAGGATCCTGCATGCGCGTTTCCGAGACGCAGCACACATCGATTGAGCGAGATTCTAAAGTCCTAGCTAATGAAGCCTGTTGCCCTATTTGAACCAATGTCTGTACATCAAATGCTCCAACATGTAGTCTAGAGCGAGGTTTAAGGAGACCAGGAACGACGTTTCGCGAACTCGTATCGTCTGCATTAGCTGTGCATTGTGATGAATGAATGTGAGAAGAGTTAGTCGTGGAGATAAGAGAGGTACTAGTGGGTGTAGGAAGGATTTGATTTTGACCAATTTGGTCTCGCGTGCTGTTACGGGTATGAGGGCGGTTGTCACTTCCCGGCTGCCCACACCATGAAAGGTTGTTTCTTGAGGAACCTGAAAACGAAGATAGATTAGTGTCGGTCTTAGAGAGAGCTGGGAGCGTGACCGCAGAGCCCAAGGGACAACTGCTTGAGGCCGGTCACGCAAGGCCTTTTTATGAAAGGGTTTTTGAGTATTAGCTCCGTTCATTTTATAGCCCTTAGGGGGAGCCCTTACCTTCGGAGACGAAAATCCGTGAGGTAGGGTGAGGTGTGACATTTTTAGGGTCGACGTTTTCTAACCGCCCCTTCCTTGTGAGAAGGGAGCATCGCTGCAGATGCTGGTTGTCCGACGGAAAAACCATACTTTTGTCACACTTCTCTACAGTCAGCAGTACGGCTTCGCCCTCAGACCTTGAGTAGCACTTTTTAGTCTCATCATACTCCAATCGACCTGCCTGGCATGGTAGAACCTTCAGGAACATCTGTTACACCCAATATAGCTCGGTTGGGTCATCACGATAAGCAAGTCCGATCACCACGTCAAGGTAGCAGCTACTGTCGGGCATCATTTTGAAGAATATTTTCTATATGTTATGTTCATATTTTCCTTCTCTAACACCAGCTAAGTTTTCTGACTTTTTCTTTCTGATAAAATGCTGCTCTAAGTTCACGATATTAATGAATATTCTCACTGCTTAAAAAATTGTTGTACATTGTTACTTAAACTTTTCTATTCTTGTAAGTCTGAATGGAGTATACAAGGTTCATTCAGCGCATATGAAAGTGAAGTACTAATTAATTGGTTTCGTAGTTTACCACAAAAACGTGAAGATGCTACATCATTATCATGGATTATATCTGGACCAATGTCTTTGTTAGGCAATCTACGTTTAACATTACCAGCCTGTGCTCCTTATCCATCTACTCAAATTACATCATGTAATGAGTCTGGATTCGCTTTTACAAATCATCCACATTATGAGAATACAGTTCTTCGTCATAGAACTATTTTAGCATATGGGATTTATAGTCGCAAATCTCTTCATGACGTTTGGCATGTATATCGTTATATTTTAAAAGTAAGTAGATATTCTAGTAAAAGTATGCTATACTAACGTCCTTGAGACTAGTTAGGCTAGTTAGGAAACGTTGCTTAGTTATAGATTAAATCATAATGAAAAGCAGTAAAATAACAGTGGAATAGTAGTTTCCATGTGATAATCTCCTATATGTTAAATTATTTATTATTGTAAAGGGAAAAGGTTAAGTTCATATATTGTGGAGTTCCAGTTATAACCCTTATGGAGTTTTCGTCGGTTTGGGTCAAGCGATAAGAGTTAAGTTCGAGATATGTGTTAGAATTACGGATTGAGGTTTTGATCATACATTGACATCAGATATAATGCAATGATCCATTGCCAGCCTTTTGTTGATCAACTTAATTTCAAGACGAATAGATAACGATCGATTGTTATTGAAGGCTTAATTCATGTTAGAGGATGTCTTTCGACTTTCCGAAAGTACTTGAATATCATATACAGTATGCACCCAGAAAATAAGCATATTATATGGCATTAACATCACGCAGACTGATATACGGGGCTGTCTCATATCCTAATAAGTTTACTTAAAAGGTAAATAGGTTTGAAGTGGTCAGAAGGACTATATTGAGATCAATGACTTCATGTATAGCGATGGAACAATTGATGGAAGATTTACAATTATTGCAAGACTCCAGAGGGTGATCGGAGTAGATCACTTGGACATAACTATCGTTATAGAAGGCTCTATATTTCAACATGTTTTAATATCCGAGGAGTTCACTTAGAAGTTGTTCATGTGCTCTCAACAGACTCCAAATCTCAAGAATATTCTTGAGAAGATATGCTACCACAAGCTTTATTGGGTTAGAACGAGAATAATGACAGCTATCGTCTGACTTAAATAATAATTGTCATAAGTTGATAACCCAGTGGTTAGGCGTACTCATCTCTGATATCCAACTCATCGTGAAGGATTGTGAGATTTATAAATTCACAGACTTAAATACACTATTTAAGACACCGGATCTGACATACAAAGCGTCAGCTACTTATCGGTCGAAAGTTTACTTGATGAAAGACGTCTAATTTCTGTTCGTGAAGACTCTGGCCAGATTGATTTATTAACGCCCAACAATTTGAAAGAAAATTACGTGGACATCATTCAAAGCGATCACTATTCAGTGATCATCTTATTTTAAAATCACTTTTAGCACACTATTGCCTCCGTTTAGTTGTATAATATTTCTGAGTATTTACACACATCTGTGATATACGCCATACTTGTTACTAGAATTGTAACATTTACTTCTAGCCTTCATACGTTCATTAAACTTATGCTTCATTGTACTGGTTCCCAATTTTTTGAACTCGTAGTCAGTGATAATTAAACATTATTCTGTCTGGCCAAACGCACTGAATTAGGCACAAAATTAGAGAACTGGGAAACAAACGACTTCATCCATAGTTTTAATCCGAAGTACATGCAAAAAACATTAATTCCTAAGTGTTAACACGAATAATAATTATAATAATTAAAGTACATTGTTTATAAAACACAATAGTCTATGTACAAACTGGCGGCTTTGTCTAAAGCACTTATGTCTAACAAAAGTCAAAACGGGAACTAAGAATACAGAAACTGGCAACCGGTATGGTACTAGAGATAATTGGAAATAAGATAAATTGCTGATTATTAAGTAGCATAATATAATACTCAAAGATTATCGAACAGAAGATGTATCTGCGCAGCTATATATATATATATATATATAATGAATCACGCCAATAGTGCTCATTTCACCTTCGAAGGGTTAACATTTAGTCCCTATTCGCATTTTAGTAGTCCAGGTATTGGCTGCTTTGTTGTGACAGAATGCTATTTCAGTTTTTTATGTTTGGATGTTAGACAAATGCCGTTCAAAACGTAATTCTATACATTATAACCGTTAAAAAAATTTATCCGTTGTTGTTCTAACGGTTTTTAAGATATTTTTCTTCCCTGTGATTATACTGGATTGTATACTCCAACGTCACACATCACAGAAACTAGATCACGTTAAATCAGAAGAAGCAACAGACAGTACTTAATTCTATACAGTTATAAGCAATTACATTTAATGAAACCGGAGGAGAAATCAATTGAAAGAAGGGACATCGCATATTTGATTGTCAGCATCAACTATCAACCACGTGTTGCCTAGAGCATCTACTTTCATTTGTCTGCTAATTGACAATTTTGGTATGGTTCTTTTTTTCAGACTGATTTTTTAATAGTGGAAACTCATATCTGTCCATCTAGAGGTGGATGTAGTAAACCGGAACTTTTCGATCTACTTGATACACATCTTGTTGGACGCCCAGCACTGTGTGAATATTTAATGAATACACAAGTTTTAAAAGCTGGTAAAACTCCGAGTACTTTGAAACCATACTTCACAGTTGTTTATGTTGAGCCATACACAGGTAGAGTTGTACTATATGTCAATAAATTACCGTAATACGTAATGGAAGCACGTGCGCTGCTTACAGTTTAATGCAGTGTGTATAATTTCGCCATAAATCCAAGTTATCCAGATGCTTAATTATTTGTAGCCATGGTGTAAATCTCTTTGTAAACACAAACTACCAGTTATATTTCAAATGCTATTAACTCAAATCTACCAAATGGTATGTATAACATGTAAATAAACGTTATATATTTTTGGTTTGAAACCTATGTGTTTTCCATTTTCTTGTAAGATAAGGTTGCTCCTGTCTTTCAACCACTTCAGTAATTTAAAAAACAATTAGAATACAAAGAGATTAAAGACAACTTGAATTAGAAAGTCTAATCTGTACAACGTAGAGGAGCATTGACAGCAATTCAATCTTCATCTTCAGACAAACATACACGTTCCACTATACGACGTTCACGTTTAATCCGTGATCTCTTTTTGCGTAAATTGTTTGTTTCATCCAAAGGTTTTCTCATGGATTGCCTTCGTCGAGGCTTATGTGGTTTAGGTAATTCAGAAAGTAGGCTATTTTCATCTTTGACTTGTGAAGTGCTTGGAGTTTTAAGAGATCGTTCTTTTGTTCTTTGATTTCGCAAGCGACTGGCTGCATGACGAACACGCTTGCTCGGTACGGTTACCTAAAAAATGAAATAGCTATTGATTAGAACATCCGGTGAATGTTACTCAGTTTTTTGAGGATTTTCAGATGTCAGATGAGAACGCTTTGCCGAATTTCAGGACAAAAGTTCTCCAATATTATTTACCGGAATACTGCTAGTTGAAAACCTTAATAATAAATTCTCAGTTACTCGCACTTATTTTGGTACACTATCGTAATAACTGTTATAGACTCGTAAGTTTACGATAACGGAGCTTGTCTGTGTAAACATTTGAAATCAGATTAGGGTTTTAAAGCTGTGTTTGCACCGATTCTAGATTAATCAGACATTGGTCTCAGGAATCTGATGTTCTGATGAGTTGCCTCAAGTTATTTGGCATTGAGACTTAGTCGATCTTGTTGCTAATAAATGGGGAAAGCCAATGGGATATGAAAAATCAAGTGCGATCCACCAAGAAAGGCTGAACTCTATATACAATTTAACGACACTAGACAATACCGGAATTATTAGCATCTATCCACTATTTTTTCAGTGATTATAGTTTTGAAGATGAAATACAACTTACTTCATCTAATTCTGATGAACCAACCTCAGATTTTTGGTAAAATTTCTGGTTTTCGATTTGAAAGTAATTTGTTATGAGTGACTTGGAAGAAAGAATCCCTCCAGGATTCCCAAGCTCCATATGTTGTCTATGTTTGAGCACAGAAGCCAATAAAGCTTCTGTTTTTTCGGTATTCCATCCCAATATGGTATTTACATGTGTGTTAGAGTAAAAACTAAGGAAGGATAGCGTATACATGTGTATGAGATTAACAAAAACTTATGTTCACTTACCATAAATATTAACTTGTGGGAATTCGGCATCTAACTTGTCGAACTAATCTACTCAGAAGTATTCATTGTTTCAGTTTACTACTAACATTCTTGGAGGAGACAGCTGTGGCTTAATGATCTGAGCATTCCTATAACCGTAGAGTTTGTGAATCAACGGTAATTTACTAGGAAAACAGTTAGAACTGTTTGTTTAATTAAACCTTATACGTTTATATTTTGACAGCAAATTTTTTAAAGATAATCTCACATCCAAACAATTATTCTGCTCCACGGCTAGAATTTATTCACAATTGCAGTGCACGAAAATGTCCAGTTGTAATTTACTCAGTGGCACTCAACTACACATGTATTTATTAAAACAACCTTGATTGGTTATTACCAAATACATCTGGGAAATTAAAGATTGATACTAAACAAAGGAAATGGATGAAGTGTTATTCAATACCGTAATAAAACTAACATTATTCACCTTCATATGGGAAACTTTATTTTGATTAGGGAGACCATGAAGGAATGAATGGCACTGGAGGAAAACATCTAACATTATTAATCTTAAAACATTAATGGTCACAACGATTCATTGTCATAATGTACTTCACATTAGAGCCATCTGCTAATATAGTTAATGTACTTTAAATGTATTAGAATACCTAATGGATTTTCTCAATAAAAAAGGATATTTAACAAGAAGAGGTACACTTGGTGATTCCCATTTAAACGACGGTAAATCGATTTTTACATTTGGGTACAGGTAGGCACGCGCAATACGGCTATCTGGAAACCCTAATGAAAAAAAATGATAAATAATAGAAAACTATTGTTATGTAGTAATACATTTACCCTAATGTTTCTTAGGTTCATACAACTTGGTTTTTGAGTATTTATGGAATTTAGAAAAACATGCTTTCTATGGCTTTGCATTTTTCATACATATGAATTGATTCAAGTAGAGTTTTTAACAAGGGAATTAGTAAAATGTAATCCTGTGAATATTTATGGTGTTGGGTTCATGCTCTAGAGAACAAATAAATATATTTATTTTGAAGGTCAGGATCATTTTAGTTGCGTACTATCTTTGCTTAGTGCAATTAGTGAATAAAAACACTTCATTGTGGTGGTGGTGTTTGGTTCTCTGAGCTGGTTGTTTTGGTTGTGAAGCATTCATTGTTCTTCTGAACAACATCATCAGCACAAACTTCAGATAGAAGTGAAGTAATCGAATTTCTCCATGTTTGACCTGTAGCTGGTTCTGTGAACCTCGATCTTGATTGGTTGCTGTTGACCTTAAACCTTTCGTTGTTTGCACCTTTGTTTTGATTGTATCCCCCTTTTGATCTGTTTCTTGATCCTATGTCACCTATGATTATACTGATTGGTTAATAAATTGGGTCAATGTCGATGTGTTTGTTAATTGCTGATTGACCTGAGTCCCAGGCTTCGAAAAATTCCCTTGGCACGCAGGTCAATCAGCAATTGAAAAACACATCGACATTGACCCAATTTATCAACCAATCAGAATAATTACTTATCTCGTGAGTCTCATCAGTGCTGATGTTCTGGTGACTGACGAAATCTCTGCATGGATGCAAAGGGCTCGATTGGCTTTTGCCAACCTGCGTCACTTATGGCGTAGGCGAGTAGTCCGTTTGCTGGACTAATGGACGAGTGTACTGCGCAGTAGTTCGCTCCGTCTTACTTTATGGCTGTGAAACATGGTCAGTGAGAGTAGAAGATATTCGTAGGTTACTGGTTTTCGATCATAGGCGTCTCCGAAGCATTGCTCGAGTATCGTGAGACAGCCGAGTAAGCAATGCTGTTGTTAGGAAATGGGTGCTAGGTAGGGATGGTAGGTCAATAGATGAAGTAATGAAACTTCATCAGTTGAGGTGGTTGGGACATGTGTTGCGTATGCTTAACCACCGACTGTCTCGTCGAGCTATGTTTCGCGATATAGGAACAGCCTGGACGAAAGCTGGGGGCGGCCAAACCAAAACATGGCACAGAACCATGACGTCACTGACAAATGGATCGAGTTATGTCGGTAGGTGTGGAACACCTGGTTGGGGTCTGCGAGATGATAGCTATCGATTATTAGAGACCCTGAATTGCATGGCTTAAAACTGTTTGCAATGGAACAGGTGCATTCATTCTTTGTAGTCTCTCAAATCTTAAACTTCTTGATTCCTCATCACTTTGTCTCTATCTTATTAAATCTATTTCATTAGATTCTACTTTTTGAATAATATCTTATAATCCTAACCTCTCCGACTACTGCTAACACCTCTACTACTATGGTTTTTGAATTAAGAATTATATCTCTGTGCTAATGTGGTATGGAAGCAGGAACTGATGTACGTACGTACGAAGTTCTATGTTGCTGATGATTGATTGAGATAAATATGAATTAGGAAAATGTCACATATGTTATCTTCTAAAGAAACAGCTGACATGTACTAAAAATTGAGTACGTAACCTGAGCTATTCGTAAAAAATGTAGTAAGTTTACTGAGATTTCCCTTACATTTATTAAACATAAAGTTGATAGGAACATCAAGCTTTCATAGTTGTAATATCGTACAGAGAAATTATAAACTGAAAATGTATACATATTTTTACATACCTGGATATGGTTTCAAGTTTATCCAACGACGTCTAATTGGATTAGATTCAATCAATCTGAGTATTTTCATTGATTGTGGAGAATTTTGTGAACGAGTAGTTTCCCACCAATGTCTAAACAAGAATAGTTATTTGTTAATAATAAGTAAATTACAAACTAGTAAATCTCTGAAATTGATACAGTAGTTCTACGAATGTCAGAGTCAAATTTTATAGTAGCATCAAATGAACAATGAGATTTTATTTCATAATCGTAAGATAATAGTACTCGACGTTATCTAATACATAAGTTGAGCTCTTTGTGAAATTCAAGTAATACTGAGAGCTGTTCATGGAGTGATAAAAAGACATTTCTTTTCAACTGAATCACACTTTCAAGTGACTCCATGGATTCTATAAAGATGGGATAAATCAAAGATCACCATCGACCTTCTTTGTTCATATTAAGATATCAAACACGTTTTGTTTTATTTTTCCAGTCTTCAGTCAATCCACTATCCATATGAATGTTAATGAACTAAATTTTTTGAAATTGTCTGTGATCATTATTGTAATGAAATGATGAGGCAGTTGACAATCCTGATTTTTGATGATCTTCAGGGTTGCTTAAAAGGGTAGCAGAAGAGATGAGATAATTGTATTACCTTAAATAGGGAGAGTTTTAAAGGGTGAAAAATTGATGAACCCTAAATTTTATATGATCTTGTTATGGCCATGTTCTGCTTAAGTAGTAGTATACAGGAAAATCTTTTTTCGGACTAGTTAATAGCCTTAATGGGCTAGGCTACTTACTATAACTTTGCGACTGTAACTAAGTCGGATCCTATTTGTTGACTAGCGATCTTCGACGACACTGGTTGACAAGAGAATAGAAGACAACTACTACAAAATTCTGTTTATCCAGATTTAATCCAACTTAAAGAAGTACATGATTAAATAAACGACAAATCGTATCAGTAGTACGTAAGATAAACAGTAAAATAAGATGTACTAGAATAGGGTATTGAACATTAAAAATTTAAAGATGAAACTTACGTGAATTGTTTTAGAGGTTTTAAAATATAATTGATTAATTTTTCCGAAGGTTCATCAATACCATTAAGCCAATTGTTAATTTCACAATTTAATGAATCATCATCAGCTTCATCAAATTCACTTATTATTTCAAGTGCTGTAACTGGACCAACTTGATCAATTCCACGTGTATAATCGCTACCACAGAGTAGCGTCAAACGGAGAATATTTTCTATAGTAAGGCCTAAAGTATTACCGAATATAATGGTGAGCATGATATATAGTGACGTAGCAGTAACATTATTTATGAACTTATCAGTCAGTCACATGCAACGTAAAACTTCGTACGTAAGTACAACAGTTCATGTTGCCATACCACATCAGCACAGAGATATAATTGTCAATTCAAATCCAATAGTAGAAGAGGTAGAAAAGGTATTAGAAGTAGTCGGACAGGTTAGGATGAGAAGATATTATTCGAGAAGTATGATTCAGTGAGAAAAGTTTAGAAGGTCAAAACTAGAAGGGTTGAAGAATCCAGAAGATTAGGATTTGAGAGAACACAAAGAATGAATGCACCGGCGCCATTGCGAACGATTTTGAGCCATGTCATTCAAGGTCTCTAGCCATCGATTATTATCATCTCGTGGACCACAACCAGGTAGTCGACAACGACCGACATGGCTAAGTCCACTCGTCAATGATTTCATGGATTTGTGCCATGTTTTGGTTTGGCCGCCCCTAACTTTCTTCCAACATACTCCTACACTACAAAACAAAGCTCGACGAGGCAGTCGGTGGTTAGGCATACGCAACACATGTCCCAACCACCTCAACTGATGAAGTTTCATTACTTCATTTATTGATCTGCCATTCTTACCTAGCACCTGTTTCCTATTAACATCGTTGCTCACTCGGCTGTCCCACGATACTCGAGCAATGCTTCGGAGACGCCTATGATCGAAAACCAGTAACCTACGAATATCTTCTACTCTCACTGACCATGTTTCACAGCCATAAAGTAAGACGGAGCGAACTACTGCGCAGTACACTCGTCCTTTAGTCAGCAAACGGACTATATTAGTTACTTATTCCCCTGTGATTGGCGCAAGAACACTTTTGTCCTTTCTTATACATTGGGACAATCAGGGATTGAGACCAGTCAGATGGTATTGCGTCCAGTTCCCAGATTCTACCTAAAATCTCAGTCAACCCAGCTGCTAAAACTGGACCACCATCCTTAAATATCTTAGGGGTCAATCTATCAGGACCCGCTGCTCTCCCTCGCTTCAGATTTCCTAACGCTTCCTCAACTTCATAGAGAGTCGGGGGACTTACGTCGATTTGCCATTCAGGATGACTGGAGATCGTGAGTAACCAAAGTGTGCCTGGAGACCTGTTGAACTGATCGCTGAAGTATTCTGCCCATAGGCATTTTGTCAACCTGCACCTGCGCTAACTCCGCTCTTCATCGCACTCAGAGCCAGGCGTGACTAGTTTTTGAGCATCCATCAGTTCGGTAGATGCTACTGAAATGCTCCGCTACTCCTTAGCCTTATGGTTCACTTCACTAGAAGATATCACTGCTGTTTCCACAGCCTTTTGGATATCATCCCAACCTGCCTCAAGGTGGGCATCACTTACTACATCGCTGCCTAACTGTTTTCCTGGTTGTTCCTGAATTATATTCTTAGCTTTATTATCATTACGTAGAGCCCTAGCAGTTTCTTTGCAATATTTTTCTTGCGTCCAGTATGGTACAAACAAATGTGCACTCGCAATAGAGCATGGTTTGAGTCCAAACAAGTGCTCCAGAATGAGCGACAGTCCTCTATCGAGTCCCTCCATTTGTGGCTGATGGCGATATGATCTAGTTGAGTCCAGCGTTAGGACGACTTCGGGAGTCACCAGGTCAACAGATGTTTTTCCTTATACCTAAAGTTAGTGTTTGATAGAAATAGGCAGTTATCTGAGCATACTTACAAGAGACGGTCGCCATTATCTGTTCGATCAGCCGCAACACCATAAGATCCAATGAGGTGACTTTTCTCATCGCCTAGTCTACCACCTACTTGAGCATTGAGATCACCAGCCACAATCGTTATATCAGAGCACCTAACTTTTTGGAGGAGGTTCGAAAGCTTTCTGTAAAACTCATCTTTCACCTCGTCTGAACTGCAGTCCGTGGGGGCATAGGCAGGTACGACGAAGAGGTAATTTTGTATTAAGAATTATCAAATAATAATGTATGGCTTACATGCTGAACTAAGTTATACATTACATCTACTTACAATAATAGACTATTACATTACTGATGAAATAAATTACCTAATTTACGTTTTACTTCATCAAGTTTATAGATGGAAGGATTTGTTGTTCTTCGCAGATTATCACCACCAGTAGTTCCAAACAGATGACGACAGACAAGTTTAACACCGAACGGCCAAACATCAGAATCATCACTCGCAACCAAATCGACTAGACCATGACGTTGTAGAGCAACACATTGAGCTTCTGCTTCTTCTGGACTAAATACAAATGGAAATCCGAACAAACTAAGCAGATCCTACAAGGTATAAAAAAAGGGGCATTTGACTAATCAACAGAACTCGTCTAATGAGAACAACAATAATAATAAGATTTAAACTCCAACATAACCAAGATAAAGAGGCATTTTAGTAGTTAAAGAACTGGCTATTCAACAAATGCTCAGTAAACGATTCCAAGTCTACTATGGTTGGAGCGAATACCAGATCTCGCACAAGAGTGTGTTGCCTCAAGTAGTGCATGAAATTTGTATCGGGTACATGTTTCCCTTTTCATAAGATATAAATTACCGCGCATACTATGAAGATGTTTATAATATCTCAATAAGTACAGAATTAAGTTTCTTACATTTTGATGTAAGTGAATAAATAAACAGCCGAATTGAATTAATACAAGTTTAAATTGTATAGAAAAAAAAGCCGAATACTTGGTAAAATCGAACAAAGTTTGATCATATCATTTCGATTAAGGTGATTTTGTGTGTAACATAATTGTGTTCATTGGTGTGTATGATAGTAGATGTAAGAGAAATGTGATATTTTTACGGTGAATAATTCAAATTGAATTTGTAAGCGATAACGGTGTGAAAAGTGGATAGAATTAAATGTAGTTGTTTAGATAACTTGTCAAAGCTGTATGGTTAGTTAGGTATTCTTTTAGATTGAGAGTAATGGTGTATAATAATGTATGAAAATCTAAAGTTGATCACATTTCTATAATGGTTGGGAAAAAATCTTGGAACTAACTGGACATCCATAACATTGACCTGGTGGTTGTTGAAAGTAGCACATATTGATGATTTGTGTAGATTTTACATTTCGACAAAATGATTAGTTGCTTTTTTGTGTAGCTTAGGTGTTTTTCTTGGCACCAGTCAAAACTTTATGAGAAGACTCCCTAACATATAGAAGCATAACAATCAGCATAACCTAATCTATGGAGGCACAGTGGATCTTTTCTTTAATTTGCTTTATTGAAAGTTTTAATTCTGTGTAGTTTCAAGTGCTTTTATTACACCGTGGTGACAGGGTACTCATCCATGATTTTATTTTATAAATTCATCTATGCAGACAGACATGAGAGTGGAAAGTGTATAAACAAAGCGAAGCGGAGAAGGTGAGTGAGCCAACTCTCCAGCGTTGAAGCTGTAGCACCTCACATATATCTTGTACTTTTATCATTGTTGAGCTTGTATGCGCATGTACGCTTGGGCATTACTTGCCACCTACACATATAGTTATTTGACTAGCTGTATCGATTAACAGTTTGAATAATTTGATGTCAATATCGACTATACATATTTGAATTAAATCCCATATTTGTATCGATCATTAAAATAATTTGAATAATAAAGAAATTGTGGCAACGACTCGTGTTCTCTCGTAGCGATCATCAAGACGGAGATCTACGGGAAATCGAAGATAGCGAAAGTCTAAAGCCACAATAAAGCAATGACTAAGTATTTATAGTCAGGCAATAATAAGTTAGACATGTGATAAGCTGGTAAGCATCCGCACACAAATATACAATAATCGATACTGTAATCGAATTGTTACACATATAAAAAATGATCGATTTGTTTATCGGATAATTTGAACGACAAATCACTGAAGTACGATGAATGGATGACGATATGTTGCACGTTCGTTAGTATTATGCAGCTCGACCGTAGCTGCCTTGATGTAGCAATCGGGATCTTTTATCTCGATCAATCAACCAGGCTATAGTGGTTGCAAAATATGTTTCTTTAGGTCTTACCATATCAAGCAAGTTGGTTGGAGGAAGGGAGGGTGAGGTGGTACTGCTGACTTTAGGGACTTATCAAAGCAATAGAATGTTTTCACCGCAAGACCAGCAACCACGACGACATTGCCTTCTCAAAAGGGTTAAAAAAGGTTGATCTCCGGTAGTAAGGTCTTTTAGAGAGCACAACTAACACATCGAATGCTTGCCATAAAAACGTCGTGCAGGACCGGCCCCAAGCAGTTTTCTCGTGGGTTCCGTGGACACTACTAGGTCACTAAGATAAATACTAAATCAGCTTCCTTTGCAGGTCTCTCAAGAAGGATTATCCTATCACGGTGTGGGCAACCAGAAAACAAAAACCAATAACCAACCTCTAACAGGGATGTTAGGGGTTATCTTGTACTCGATTGAATTCACCCCTCACCTCTTATCCTTACGACTAATACTTCTTGCATATCTTTATCTCCTCGCACCAACAACGCTAATGATTTCAAATAATTAAATGTTATTCCTGATCTCCTGAAACTATGCTCTAAACTACATGTTGGAGTTTTTAATGCTCAAACCTTGGGCTATGGAGGGAAACAAGCTTTCTTAGCTATGACTCTAGAATCTCGCGCCGTTGATCGATGTTGAGTCTCCGAATGCGCATACAGGATCCCGTTACAGTTACTCACTAGACCTCATCTTGTCAGTGCAAAAAACTAACTCGATCTAACATCCGTGTATCAAGAGACCCCACTGCTACTTCCCGTGATCTCGTTGACGTAGGTATAGCGTGAAGTTCAAGAAGAGAAACGCCTGTCCTAGACTGGGTCCTAGTAAACCCCGCTTGTGCGTTGTGCAACAGTAAGAAGATAAGGACATCTGTCGCTGCTTCTTTGTTTTCTCTCTCTACACCCCCACTATTGCGGCTCGGACGAGATAAAAGATGGATTTCATAAAAAACTGTCCAATCTTATTCAAAAAGCTAAGCGACCTGATACAATAATAGAGACTCGTGATTTTAATGTAAATTGGGTAGACTGAACTGGATCGAAAGGCATTTTGCCGGCTCTTAACGGAGTTGCTGTTCGACGAATAGATGACGGCGATAGTCTGCTATAAATATACTGAGATGAACATCCATTTCTAACAAGCAGTGACTTTAGGTGAAGAAAGAACATTAAACTACGTAGCAACAACCATAATCGACTCAATTATGGACTCAAATAGATCATATTGACGCCAGTCACCGATAAAGAGGATTGATAGAAGAGATTGTTGCAGATTCACGAAAATACATTTAGATCCAGTACAAGCCACGTATTTGTCCGCGGCTTACGAGACGTAAAACAGGTTATAACACGGAAATCACTTGAAGTTCAACATAATAGTGAAAACGAGACAAGAATTCATGGCAGAAAATATTAAGTCAAGTTAGTTAACCACGCCAGTGATACACACCCTGAATCAGCTTGGAACGAAATCCAAAAACCAGTGGAAACAATAGGGATATTTACCAGAAAATTAATTCAAAAGGTTAGGAAAAATTATTGGATTTCAGTGACATACACTGAACTGATAGATGCTGGGAAACTGAACCCTTCTGGCTCTGTACACAATGAGAAGAGGAGGCAGCTTAAACACAGGCTGATAAAAAGCCTACTCAGTGATCGTGAGCAATGGTGGGTAGCGAAAGCAAAAGAGATGGAAAAGGCAGTGACGACAGATGACAGCAAACAACTTTTCACACAAATTGAGGAAACTGGTATTAGAAGTCTGTCTGTAAGTGAAAATATCTACGAAAAAGACAGGACTATTATTCACTCTCAATCCGGGAGAAAAACTAAAGGAACAGTTCAACTGGCCTTCAGTCACACAGTTACCCACCATCTTCAGCAACTCTTAGTGGGGTTGAAAAAGGCTGTAAGCAATCTGAAACGGGGGAAAGTAACAGAGACTGAAGGAATAACTACCGAGATTTCTAAGGATGGTGGTCCAGTTTTAGCAGTTATATTAACTGAGATCTCAGTTAGAAACAGGCGACTGGATACATCCCATCTGATCTATATTGATCGCTAGTCGTCCCAGTCTATAAAATATTGTCCGATGAATAGGTTGGAAAGCCAGGGGTGGGCGGGCAAAAACACGGCATTCAGTCAGTCCGTCGGTCAGTTGCAACGTAAAACTTCGTACGTAAGTACAACAGTTCATGTTGCCATACCACATCAGCACAGAGATATAATTGTCAATTCAAATCCAATAGTAGAAGAGGTAGAAAAGGTATTAGAAGTAGTCGGACAGGTTAGGATGAGAAGATATTATTCGAGAAGTATGATTCAGTGAGAAAAGTTTAGAAGGTCAAAACTAGAAGGGTTGAAGAATCCAGAAGATTAGGATTTGAGAGAACACAAAGAATGAATGCACCGGCGCCATTGCGAACGATTTTGAGCCATGTCATTCAAGGTCTCTAGCCATCGATTATTATCATCTCGTGGACCACAACCAGGTAGTCGACAACGACCGACATGGCTAAGTCCACTCGTCAATGATTTCATGGATTTGTGCCATGTTTTGGTTTGGCCGCCCCTAACTTTCTTCCAACATACTCCTACACTACAAAACAAAGCTCGACGAGGCAGTCGGTGGTTAGGCATACGCAACACATGTCCCAACCACCTCAACTGATGAAGTTTCATTACTTCATTTATTGATCTGCCATTCTTACCTAGCACCTGTTTCCTATTAACATCGTTGCTCACTCGGCTGTCCCACGATACTCGAGCAATGCTTCCGAGACGCCTATGATCGAAAACCAGTAACCTACGAATATCTTCTACTCTCACTGACCATGTTTCACAGCCATAAAGTAAGACGGAGCGAACTACTGCGCAGTACACTCGTCCTTCAGTCAGCAAACGGATATCTCGCCTACGCCATAAGTGACGCAGGTTGGCAAAAGCCAATCGAGCCTTCTGTATCCGTGCCGAGATTTCGTCAGTCATCAGGCCATCAGCACTGATGAGACTCACTAGATAAGTGAAGCGGTCTACACGTTCGACCACTTCACTCCCTATCACTAGTTCAGGTGCCGATGAAACCCAATCTTGAAGCAACATTTTGCATTTCGAGGGGGAAAACCGCATCTCGAACATGCTTGCATTGTTGCTTAGGGTAGTCAGAAGACTCTGCATTTTGTCAGCGTCTTCACCAAGTAGGACAATGTCATCGGCATATTCTAAGTCAATAAGCGAGCCACCTGGTAAAAGGTCTACTCCAGAAAATTCAGACGAAGATAAGGTTATTTCTAGGAGCATGTCTATGATAAAATTAAACAAGAATGGAGAGAGTGGACATCCCTGACCGACACCACTTGAAGTGAAGAATTCCGATGACAGTTCACCATAAGCTCTCACTCGACCAGTGGTGTTCGAGTAGAGAGCTTGTATGAGGTTAATGTACTTCTTTGGTACACCTTTCAATGACAGACACTGCCACAGAACCTCACGACCCACTGAGTCAAATGCCGCCTTAAGGTCTAGGAAAACAACTATTGTAGGACGCCTAAATGTGTGTCTGTGTTCCAGGACCTGTCGTAGTGTGAAGACGTGGTCTATACAGCCACATCCAGGTCGAAAACCAGACTGGTTTTCTCGAGTCTGCTCTTCACGAGCTTTCGTTAGGCGTCGAAGTATTACTGAGGCCAATATTTCAGATACTATATTAGTTAGACTTATTCCTCTGTGATTGTCACAAGAAGACTTCTGTCCTTTCTTGTAGATTGGGACAATCAGTGATTGAGACCAGTCGGATGGGATTGCGTCCAGTTCCCAGATTCTACCTAAGATCTCAGTCAACCTAACTGATAAAACTGGACCACCATCCTTAAATATCTCAGGGGTCAGTCTATCAGGACCTGCAGCTCGTCCTCGTTTCAGGTTTCCTAACGCTTTTTCAACTTCATTAAGACTAGGGGGACTTACGTCGATTTGCCATTCAGGATGACTGGAGATCGTGGGTAACTGAAGAGTGGCTCGAGGCCAGTTGAACTGATCCCTAAAGTGTTCTGCCCATCGATCCAGTCTCCTGGATTGAGAATAAATAATAGTCCCGTCATTTTCTGAGATAGTCTCACTTACACTAGGATTCCTAATACCAGTTTCCTTGATAAGTCGGAAAAGTTGTCTACTGTTGCCGATCGCCGCTGCCTTTTCCATCGCTTTTGCTTTCGCCACCCACCACTGTTCGCGATCGTTGCGTAGGCTTTTTATCAGCCTGCGCCTAAGCTGACTTCGTTCTTCATCATGTTCAGTGCCAGGTGGGATTAGTCTCCTAGCCTGCATCAGTTCGGTGGATGCAACCGAGATCCACAGCTTCATTCTAGCCTTATGGTTTACCTTGCTAGTAGATATTACTGCTGTTTGCGCAACATCTTTGATATTATTTCAACCTGCTTCCGGATGGGAACCGCTAGCATGCTTGCCTAACTCTCTTTCTAGTATGCTCCTGAAATATATTTTTCGCCTTATTATCATTAAGTAAAACCCTAAGAGGCTTTCTTACGGTGTCTTTCCTACGCCCAGTAAGCTTCAAACAAATACGCGCTCGCACTAGGGCATGATCTGAATCCAGACATATGCTCCAGAACGAGCGACAGTCCTCTATCGAGTCCCTCCATCTGTGGCTGATGGCGATGTGATCTAGTTGAGTCCAACGTTGAAACGTCTTTGGAGGTCGCCAGGTCAACAGATGCTTTTCCTTATGCCTAAAGTTAGTGTTTGCTAAGAATAGGCGGTTGTCTGAGCATGCTTGCAACAGACGGTCACCATTGTCTGTTCTCTGAGCCGCGACACCATAACATCCACCTAGGTGTCTCTCCTGCTCACTTAGTCTACCTTCTTGAGCATTAAAGTCACCAGCCATTATTACTATATCAGAGCGCCTAGCTTTTTGGAGGAGGTCCGAAAGCTTTCTGTAAAACTCATCCTTAACCTCGTCTGAACTGCATTTAGTGGGGGCATAGGCAGATACGATGAAGAGGCAACGGCGATTGTCCCTATATTTCCGAGTCCTTACTGTCCCGTTTAGTCGGACAGCGCACAATCGACTATCTACTGGGATCCAGTCAAGGAGAGATTGTTCTGCCCTACGACTCAATGCTATTGTGGTGGTGTTTCGTTCTCTGAGCTGGTTGTTTTGGTTGTGGAGCTTTCATTGTTCTTCTGAACAACATCATCAGCACGAACTTCAGATAGAAGTGAAGCATTAGAATTTCTCCACGTTTGACCTGTAGCTTGTTCTGCTAACCTCGATCCACAACCAAAACACAATCAAGATCGAGGTTAGCAGAACAAGCTACAGGTCAAACGTGGAGAAATTCTAATGCTTCACTTCTATCTGAAGTTCGTGCTGATGATGTTGTTCAGAAGAACAATGAAAGCTCCACAACCAAAACAACCAGCTCAGAGAACGAAACACCACCACAATCATCCACCTGAGCTACAAGTTTTCTCCACCAACTCAATGCTATGCCTACGCCAGCAAGACCCCGGGAAGCAGCATCAGGGCTTCCAGATACACGAAGAGTAAATCGAGCTGCTTCTTCGTTTTGACAAGGTGGAGTCAGGTTAATGACTTTACTAGGATCCTGTATGCGCGTTTCCGAGACGCAGCATACATCGATGGCACGAGTTTCTAAAGTCCTAGCTAAGGAAGCCTGTTGCCCTATTTGACACAATGTCCGTACATTAAATGCTCCAACATGTAGTCTAGAGCGAGGTTTAAGGAGACCAGGAACGACGTTTCGCGAACTCGTATCGTCTGCATTAGCTGTACATTGTGATGAATGAATGTGAGAAGAGTTAGTCGTGAAGATAAGAGAGGTACTAGGGGGTGTAGGAAGGATTTGATTTTGACCAATTTGGTCTCGCGTGCTGTTACGGGTATGAGGGCGGTTGTCACTTCCCGGCTGCCCACACCATGGAAGGTTGTTTCTTGAGGAACCTGAAAACGAAGATAGATTAGTGTTGGTCTTAGAGAGAGCTGGGAGCGTGACCGCAGAGCCCAAGGGACAACTGCTTGAGGCCGGTCACGCACGGCCTTTTCATGAAATGTTTTTTGAGGATTAGCTCCGTTCTTAAAGGCCCTTAGTGGGCACCCTTACCCAAGGAGACGGAAATCCGTGAGTTAGGGGAGGTGTGACATTTTTAGGGCCGACCTTTTCTAACCCTTCCTTCCTTGTGAGAAGGCAGCATCGCTTCAGATGCTGGTTGTCCGAGGGAAACACCTTACTGCTGTCACACCCCTCAACAGTCAGTAAGCAGTACGACTTCGCCCTCAGACCTTGAGTAGCTGCTTTAGTCTCATCGTTCTCCAATCGACCTGCCTGGCATGGTAGGACCTTGAGGAACATATGTTGCAGCCAGTATAGCTCGGTCGGGTCATCACGATAGGCAAGCCTGACCACCACGTCAAGGTAGCAGCTGCGGTCGGGAAACACGGCATTAGTCCATGAGGTCATTGACATTCGGATTGAGCTATCTTAATAGGTGTAAACTACCTAATTGGGATTCAACTGATAGTCGTAATCAGTCGTTAGCCATTTTTATTTCACTGATTAATATTTTCGTGGATCTTCACAGTCTAATGTTTTCGATTACCACTGATAGTGTTACTATCTCTACTACTGTGGGATTTGGTCTGAAAACTTTATCTGTGTGCTAATGGAATATAACAAACCAAAGTACCAAGTCCTACTTTGCAACTAACTAGGTGATTTCTAAATACTCTTATGACTAAATAGTACTATTTACTGTTTTCATTATACTGAATTTCAGCAACCCCAATTTGTCATCTTAAAGAAATCGTTTTGAAAGAATATCGCCCTATGTTAATAACGCATTTGAGCACTTGAAAACGCGTAGATGTGAACTCTGAGGTTTACAAATAATTGCCAAACTTCAAGTTGAACTTATTCGAGTAAATCGATAAGTGACTGCATCTTCAGTCTGTTGTTGAAGACAATTTATTGATTATATTACTCTGATATAATTTGATAAACAGAATTATGCGAAAATTAACTACCCTTAAATTTGACTAACCAAATGACCAAAAGAAGAAATTTTTACCTGTGCCTCTGAAATACAACGGGTAGTTGTTGTCTGGGCTTGACGCATCAGACGATCAGCTTCCTCTCTCAATATATCGTCATCGTCAATGGCAAAATCATCCTCGGGTAATGAAGAGGATAATATGCTTTCCTGTTGATTACTGACTAATTCTTTTTTCTTAAGAACAGAATTTAATTTACTCTCATCATGATAATTGCTCTCAACAGTAGACGACGTTCGCGATGAATCAGAGTTAGTAGACGTATTGGACATTTCAACTTGTTCGTGGGTATCAACTTCAATGAAATCATCATTATCACTACTGTCACTTTCAATTTCATTGTATTTATCTTGATGACGTAATTGTAAAGATTCTGACTGACGTATATCGGAAGATACATTAGGTTCAACAACAATTTTATTTTGCATAACTTCCAAAAGGTCATATGAACGTTCTGGGACACAAAACCCAACAACATCCGATGATTTATTAGTTTTGGGAATATTAAATGAACTTTCCAGAGGAATTTCATCGAATATATCATCATTTAAAGGATGTTTGATAATCGGTTCATTGTGATTTTCGCAATCATCACCAAGTTGGTTTTTCTTGTCAATCACATGTGACATTACAGACACTTGGTTTTTACTTGGGCATATTTCAATATTAGGTGGTTTGATTGGTGTACATTTAGAGTTATATACAATATTTTCATCTGTAGAAATATTTTTCTCTTGAGCTGAACATAAGCTTTCACTGATATAACTGTCATTAGGTAATTCTTTTCCATGATTGTCTTTTGCGATTTCCACTCCTTTGCATTCATCAAGCACAGCTGAATCGTGGGTGTGATAATTAATTAAACTGAAAAAGTAGAACAAGGAAATTTTATGTACGTATAGGAGTTTTGCAAAAAGTACTTCGGTACGCTGACTGCTAGACATGGGAATATTTCCAGTAAATCAACCCTACGGAGGTATTTAAACACGATATCATTTATTATAATAACCTCTGTAATAGTGAACGTGCCAATGTGATATAGACTAAAACTTTCATGACCAGATCATTTGAACTAATTGCATGAACAGCAAAGAAATTTACGCAGGAAAAAACTCCGCTTTCACAACATAGAATATCCGATATGGCTATCAATACACAAAATCAATTGACATTGGTTAATGTGTATATGGAGGTGGTTCTTGTACATGAACTACTTAAGAAATCTAATAATCATAAAATGGGTGGTTACGAAAACAGAAACTGATAGGTAGCAGGTACCTTGCACCTTCTAAATGCAAAGTACTTTTACAAAACTGGGCATAGCATTCGCTTACATTCACCCTTGGTGATGAGTAGATGATAGTCGAAAAGTTAGTGCTTCTGGTTAGTTTTCTAAGCCGACCGATTCTTCCACTAAACATCATCATCAACAGCAAAGTAGAACTTTGCACCTAAGTACATCACTTCAAGTTGCCATACCACATTAGCATAGAGATATAATTCTCAATTCAAATCTCATAGTAGTAAAAGTATTAGCAGTAATCGGAGAGATTAGGGTTCGAAGATGTTATTCAAGAAGTATAATTCAGTGAGGTAAATTAAAAAGAGAAAGATACAGGTGATGAGAGGTTCAGAAGGTTAGAATTTCATAGAACACAAAGAATAAATGCACCTGAGCCACTGCAAACGATGTCGAGCCATGTCACTCAGGGTCTCTAACCATCGATTATTATCATCTCGCGGACCCCAACCAGGTAGTCGACAATTACCGACATGGCTAAGTCCACTCGTTGATGACTTCATGGATTTGTGCCATGTTTTGGTTTGGCCGCCCCCAGCTTTCGTTCAGGCTGTTCCTATTTCGCGAAACATAGCTCAACGAGACAGTCGGTGGTTGGGCATTTGTAACACATGTCCCAACCACCTCAACTGATGAAGTTTCATTACTTCATTTATTGATCTGCCATTCTTACCTAGCACCTGTTTCCTATTAACATCGTTGCTCACTCGGCTGTCCCACGATACTCGAGCAATGCTTCCGAGACGCCTATGATCGAAAACCAGTAACCTACGAATATCTTCTACTCTCACTGGCCATGTTACACGGCCATAGCGAAGGACAAAGCGAACTACTGCGCAGTACACTCGTCCATTAGTCAGCAAACGGAATACTCGCCTACGCCATAAGTGAAGCAGGTTGGCAAAAGCCAATCGACCTTGCGCCATAAGCTCTAACTCGACCTGTAGTGTTTGAGCAGAGAGTTTGTATAAGGTTAATGTACTTCTTTGGTACACCTTTCAATGACAGACACCGCCACAGAACCTCCTCGATTGGGAATGAATAATAAGACCATCCTTTTCCGAGATAGTTTCACTCACATTCCGGTTCCTAATACCGGTTTCAATCATGTGTCTGAATAGTTGCCTACTGTTGCCTATCGCCGTCGCCTTTTCCATCACTTTTGCTTTCGCTACCCACCACTGTTCTCGACCATTGCGTAGGCATTTTATCAGCCTGTACCTGCGCTAACTCCGCTCTTCATCGCACTCAGAGCCAGGCGTGACTAGTTTTTGAGCATCCATCAGTTCGGTAGATGCTACTGAAATGCTCCGCTACTCCTTAGCCTTATGGTTCACTTCACTAGAAGATATCACTGCTGTTTCCACAGCCTTTTGGATATCATCCCAACCTGCCTCAAGGTGGGCATCACTTACTACATCGCTGCCTAACTGTTTTCCTGGTTGTTCCTGAATTATATTCTTAGCTTTATTATCATTACGTAGAGCCCTAGCAGTTTCTTTGCAATATTTTTCTTGCGTCCAGTATGGTACAAACAAATGTGCACTCGCAATAGAGCATGGTTTGAGTCCAAACAAGTGCTCCAGAATGAGCGACAGTCCTCTATCGAGTCCCTCCATTTGTGGCTGATGGCGATATGATCTAGTTGAGTCCAGCGTTAGGACGACTTCGGGAGTCACCAGGTCAACAGATGTTTTTCCTTATACCTAAAGTTAGTGTTTGATAGAAATAGGCAGTTATCTGAGCATACTTACAAGAGACGGTCGCCATTATCTGTTCGATCAGCCGCAACACCATAAGATCCAATGAGGTGACTTTTCTCATCGCCTAGTCTACCACCTACTTGAGCATTGAGATCACCAGCCACAATCGTTATATCAGAGCACCTAACTTTTTGGAGGAGGTTCGAAAGCTTTCTGTAAAACTCATCTTTCACCTCGTCTGAACTGCAGTCCGTGGGGGCATAGGCAGATACGACGAAGAGGTAACGGCAAGTTTCCCTATCTTTACGAGTCCTTACTGTCCCGTTCAGTAGGACAGCGCACAATCGACTATCAACTGGAATCCAATCTAGTTGATTATACACTATACACTATATTCACTCCACTTTGTCTATCGACACAAAAATTCATACATTTATTTTTGTGTGGTGCATATTTATGATGGTATTCATTTTCACCAATATTTATGTGTTTAAATGAATAAACCAGAATACAAACGTGCAAAATCATCATCTACAAATCAATCATCTGTACCTAAAATGAAACCACTGTTATTTGGCATATATGAAATATATGTGTTGGATGATTCAGGCTCAACATGTGTCTAATGTTTCGTAATGAAAAGGTGTAGTGTGCTGAGTCTGAGTAATTTCGCTCTGATTCGTCACAAATGAGTATAATTTCTTGAGAATGAATTAAGCTTTATCATCTATGGAATATTAACTTGATAGACTCAATTTTATATATATATATATATATATATATATATATATATATATGGAATTTCGGAAAATATACTTACTTGTTCAATGCTGTAGATGAAGGTAATTTAGTTAGTTCACCTAAATGATTCACTGGAGATTTTCTGATGAGAATAGCATGCCCTACATCTTGTGATTGAATACGCATAGCTGTGGCTATAGTCTCGGTACTTTCCAAAGTAGTAGAAGGTTGTTTCCCATTAGAAAACGGTAAAGTGGAAAATAATGGTTGATTCTTTAAAATATTTTGTATCATAGAGTTGTTTAACTGAAGAATTTGTTGAACAGCTTCTTGTTTAGTTAAACTATCAGAAAGCTCTTGTTGACGTTCCGTTAAACGACGACGTAAAAGTAAGCGTTTCGTTTGAACATCTGAGAACTGTTCTGGGTTGAATTTTGCTTTGCGTAAAGTTGAAAAGAACAAAAATATGTTGAACAGCGTTGCAGACCATAAATGACTGTATAAAGTCTCATCACCACAGTTTTGCTTCTACAACATACTATTTATATTGAATGTGGAATGTGGCTAGCAGTGGAATGTAGGTTGTGCGTTTATTTCTATTTAGGACCTCTCAGAGGAAGGTTTTAAGTTTTGATTCTCAGACGTGGGATCGTGCACGTGCACTGTTAAAAAGTCCTATACGAGGACGGATGTCTTGTTTCAATATTAGAACAATACATAAGCGAACAATATTGTTTTCGATTAGATCGTCATCAGGTTTTACTCTAATATACATGAATATTTATATGGAAATGTTAAACCAATCAAGGCAATTTGAGTCAATAATCACAATAAAATAGATTACGTCACTACACATAATAGGCAAAAGTACAAGTTGATAGTAGGAAGACAGGTGTACTGATAGTAGTGACGTAATCTATTATGAAATATGACTCAAATTGCCTTGATTAGCTTGACATTTTCATATAAATATTCATGTAAATTGGAGTAAAGGCTGATGATGATATAATCGAAAACAGTATTGTTCATTTATGTGTTGTTCTAATTTTCACAATGTGAATCTTTAATATTTGAATTATTTTTTTTCAAGGAAAAGAGGAAGGCCAAGGAACACATTACGCCGAGAAATAGAGAAAGATATGAGAGGAATGAACAAACATTGGACAGAACTGGAAAGGGAAGCCCAGGACAGAGTTGGTTGGAGAAAACTGGTGGGCGGCCTATGCTCCATTGGGGGTAACAGGCGTAAGTAAGTAAGTAAGAATCTTCAATATTGTTTCAATATATTCGATGACAGTCTAAGATCAGTTCGTAATTTAAACTAATAAAAAAGTTCTACAACCTCCACAAATACCTTTATTCTGAAGCATATAACTGAAAGTTTAAACTTAAGGCTGAAAGCGATACAGTGTTATGGAGGAAGTTTTTAACGATCGATGAGCGAATTTCTCAATTTTTAAAATCAGAAGAGTAAAACGCAAACCGATAGATGAACGCGATGATATAATTTATGAGTGTATGATGGCTACTTACGAGGACGAATTATCAATGTAGGCTTTGAATGATCGAAAATCAAAGACAAGATCGCTCTAGATAGAAGAATACATTTTTATCTAATAAAACGACACGATGATATGCCGAATATGAACAAAAGATAAACATGATTAAACGTCATAGGTGATTCGAGGGATTCACCTCTATATATTACTTATCCTCCAATTCATTAAGAACCGACTGTTAGACCAAATCTTTGAGCATCACAGTACACTGGCATTGAATTTGAGTTGATTTTTTCCAAATAATATTCAGTTTAGGGTTTTAGGGAAAAAATCTGAATCAGACAACTGATTAACGTTTCCCTCATTACTGAAATATAAAAGATTCTACTTTCAAAAAATCTACGTGAATCGTCTTTCAAAATCTACGTTTGTTGGTAATTAGTGACTGAGAAAAGCTGAAACTACAAAACAACTTGAGAATTAAAAGAGCTAGACCATCACATTGAAAGTATGAAATTAAGCATTATATTAAAGCAGCTCAGAATCTAGTACTCAGGCTTCAGCTACATATATTGGTGTATGGCCTAGAAAAACTACTAAGTGGGTCAAACAAAAGTGGTAGGAAGGGTTAGAAAAAAAATGTCACACCTCACCTCACATAACGGATTTCCGTCTCCGGCGGTAAGGGTGTCCACTAAGGGCTGTAAAAAGAGAGGAGCTAACACAAAAATCCTTTCATTAAAAGGCCGTGCGTGATTGGCCGCAAGCAGTTGTCCCTTGGGCTCTGCGGTCACGCGCCCAGGTCTCCAAGACCAACACTAATCTATCTTCCTTTTCAGGTCCATCAAGAAACAACCTTTCACGGTATGGTCATCCGGGAAGTGACAACCGCCCTCATACCCGTAACGGCACACGAGACCAAATTAGTCAAAATCAAATCCTTCTTGCACCCCTAATATCTCTCTCATCACTACGACTAACTCTAGTCTCATTCCTTCAGCTCACTGTACCGCTAATGCAAACGATGCGAGTTCACGAAACGTTATCCCTGGTCTCTTGGAGCCCCGTTTTAAACTACATGTTGGAGCATATAATGTACGGACACTGTGTCAAATAGGGCAACAAGCTTCATTAGCTAGGACTTTAGGATCTCGGGCCATCGATGTGTCCTGGATCTCAGAAACGCGCATACAGGATCCGAGTAGCATCATTCACTTGACCTCACCATGTCAAGATGAATAACCAGTTCAGACGATGTAAAAGATGGGTTTTACAGACAGCTTTCGAAACTCCTCCAAAAAGTTAAGCGCTCTGATATAGTTATAATGGCTGGCGACGTCGATGCTCAAATACGTAGACTAAGTGAAAATGAAAGACAGCTAGGTGAATGTTAGGGTGTTGCGGCTCAAAGAACAGACAATGGCGACCGTCTGCTGCAAGTACGCTCAGATAACCAACTATTTCTAGCAAACACTGACTTTAGGCATAAGGAAAAACATCTGTTGACCTGGCAACCCCCGAAGTCGTCTCAACGTTGGACGCAACTAGATCATATCGCCATCAGCCACAGATGGAGGGGTTCGACAGAGGACTGTCGCTCGTTCTGGGGCACATGTTTAGATTCAGATCATGCCCTAGTGCGAGCGCGTATTTGTTTGAGGCTTACTGGGCGCAGGAAAGACACCGTGAGGAAGCCTCTTAAGGCTTTACTTGATGATAATCAAGCTAAGAAAATATTTCAGGAGGAACTAGAAAAACAGTTGGATGACCACGAAAGTGATTCCCATCCTGAAGCAGGTTGGAATCATATCAAGAAGGCTGTGGAGACAGCAAAGAGATCTGCTAGCAAGGTAAACCATAAGGCTAGGATGAAGCCGTGGATTTCAGTCGCATCCATCGAACTGATAGATGCTCGAAAACGCATCCCACCTGACTCTGAACATAATGAAAAGGGTAGTCAGCTTAGGCGCAGACTTATAAAAAGTCTGCGTAACGGCAGCGAACAGTGGTGGGTGGCGAAAGCAAAAGCGATGGAAAAGGCAGAGGCAATGGGCAACAGTAAACAACTTTTCCGCCTTATCAAAGAAACCGGTATTGGGAACCGGAATGTGAGTGAGACTATCTCAGAAAAGGGTGGGATTAATATCCATTCTCAATCCAGGAGATAGGACCGATGGGCAGAACACTTCAAGCACCAGTTCGACTGGTCTTCAGCCACACTTCGGTTGCCCACGATCCCCAGTCATCCTGAATGGCCAATCGACATAAGCCCTCCCAGTCCAAATGAAGTTGAGAAAGCTAGAAGAAATTTAAGGCGAGGTAGAGCAGCAGCGCCTGATAGGCCCACAATTGAGATTTTTAAGGATGGTGGTCCAGTTTTAGCAGCTAGATTGACTGAAATCTTAGGTAAAATCTGGGAACTGGACGTAATACCATCTGACTGGTCTCAATCCCTGATTGTCCCAATGTATAAGAAAGGACAAAAGTCTTCTTCTGACAATCACAGGGGAATAAGTCTAACTAATATAGTTTCTAAATTGTTAGCCTCGATTATACTTAGACGCCTTACTAGAGCTCGTGAAGAGCAGACTAGAGAAAACCAGTCTGGTTTTCGACCTGGACGTGGTTGTATAGACCACATCTTCACACTACGACAGGTCCTGGAACACAGACACACATTTAGACGTCCGACAATAGTTGTTTTCCTGGACCTAGAGGCGGCATTCGACTCAGTGGATCGTGAGGTTCTGTGGCAGTGTCTGTCATTGAAAGGTGTACCAAAGAAGTACATTAACCTCATACAAGCTCTCTACTCGACCTCAACTGGTCGAGTGAGAGCTTATGACGAACTGTCATCTGAATTCTCTACATTAAGTGGTGTCCGTCAGGGATGTCCACTCTCTCCATTCTTGTTTAACTCTGTCGTAGACATCCTCTTAGAGTTAACATTAAGCTCGTCAGATTTTTCAGCGGTTGACGTTCTACTAGGAAAGTCGCTTACTGATCTAGAATATGCCGATGACATAGTTCTACTCGGTGAAGACGCTGACAAAATGTAGAGTATTCTGACTACCCTGAGCAACAATGCAAGGATGTTCGAGATGCGGTTTTCCCCCTCGAAATGCAAAATGTTGCTTCAAGACTGGGTTGCATCGGCACCTGAACTAGTGAGAGGGATTGAAGTAGTCGAGCGTGTTGAACACTTCACTTATCTAGGGAGTCTCATCAGCGCTAATAGCCAGGTGACTGACGAAATCTCAGCGCGGATACAGAAAGCTCGATTGGCTTTTGTCAATTTACGCCGTTTATGGCGTAGGCGAGAAATCCGTTCGCTAACCAAAGGACGAGTGTACCGTGCAACAATTCGCATGGTCGTTTAGAGTAGAGGACTTTCGTAAGTTACTAATCTTTGATCATAGGTGTATCCGAAGTTTTGCTCGTGTATCGTGGGACAAGCGAGTAAGCAATGCTGTCGTAAGGAAATAAGTTCTAGGTAGGGATGGCAAATCAGTAGGTGAGGTAGTTAAACTTCATCAGTTGAGGTGGTTGGGACATGTGTTACGAATGCCTAACCACCGACTGCCTCGACAAGCTATGTTTTGTGATGTAGGAGTAGGTTCGAAGAAAGCTAGGGGCGGCCAAACCAAAACATGGCACAAATCCATGACGTCACTGACAAATGGATCGAGTTATGTCGGTAGGTGTCGAACACCTGGTTGGGGTCTGCGAGATGATAGTTATCGATTATTAGAGACCCTGAATGGCATGGCTTAAAACCGTTTGCAATGGAACAGGTGCATCCATTCGTTGTGCTCTCCCAAATCCTAATCTTCGGAGTTCGTCAGCACCTCTACCTTTGTCTTTCTAACCTTATCTCGCTGAATTATACTTCTTGAATAATATCTTCGAACCATAATCTTCTTCATTACCATTAATACCTATACTATCTTTAGCACTATGGGATTTGATTTGATATTTGCGTCTCTGTGCTAATGTGGTATGGCGACATGAACTTATGTACATATGTACGAAGTTCTACGTTGCAACTGACTGAGGTGAACTGATAAGTGGAAATCTTCAAGTGCCTTAAAAATCAAGCTTATGTTCTATGAACCTAAAAACGTTGTAAACCATTTTCATTTGCACAAGCACAAACAAAATAAATACACAGTCAATCAACAATAAGCAGCGTGAAACTTGGAACATATGGGAATCAAGTTACAAAACCAATATAACTATGCAACATGATAAAATAACTTAAACAAAATATAAGCACTCACTTTACCTTCATCATTAACTTGTACTAAATTGTTACGATATGAATTCGAGTCGAAAATTTCTCTTACCAGCTGAACAACGCGTAATTGAGCTGGTAGAGGAAGCGCACAAAAAGCATCTGAGTCGAGGTCGACTCCAGAAAACTTTTGACCCGACGAAGAGAAAGCATCCTCAAAAATTGTTTAAGAACCGGATGCATTATTATTTATTAATGGTATTGTTATTAGTTGACAATACACAAATTATAATACATGAGTATAAAAAAAGGGGTAACCGTATAGTAAATTATTATACAATCAAAAATAAATTTGAAACATGGAAAAAAGATACGTAG